ATTGGTACTTGGATAGATATGCGCGAATTTTTTAATTTAAGGACATTTTATCGTTTTGAAACCAATTAGTTATCTAAGTGGCATTGTTGTATCAGAAAATACGATTAGAACCCACCACACAGGACCCCTGAAATGGACACTTGTTCTAGTTCTGACATGAACAGATAGACCCAATCAGTCTATCACAATGGCAATTCTCTACTCTAAAGCCTAAGAACTGTTGCCTTTACATCCACATTTCTTGTTTAGAACACGCTCTGTATTAGCTGTAGATGAGTTAGCACCGGTTTTGTCATATACACACACACAAATACAAAATAAGAATTTTAGGATTTTGGGATATATACATCTAAGGCACCTGATATTGTTTCACCACAGTTCAGAGCCTTTTTTGAGCTCTTACCTGTTACTGTACGGTGCTTATCGATTTGGCCGAACTTGAGATTTGGTACGTTTGTATTCTGCAGAACAATATTTTCTTCGTGTTATACCAGTTTAGGCATTACATTCCTATGACGAGTAACCTGTTACTTAGTTCAGACAACAGCGGTAATCCGTAGTGAGTACGGACTTTTCATTCTCAAAATAACGAAATACTCAATATGAATATGGTTATGTCGTTTTGAACAATCTAAAAGGCACCATCTTGAGCGCAAAGAGGTAACGTCAAATTATCTCAAATCTCTGTATGAATGCTTAGATGCTCGCAGTACAGACTTCTATTTTCGCAAACGTATGTATGTTTTTTCTAAGGGATCTTATTGTCAGTGACTGCATCTTCTCCAAAAAGAACTAACCCAATTCGCGCTGCTGATATAACAGTTTTGATGGCAAGTCGTAGTTACAATTGAATGTCTAACTGGAGCAATAAACTAACTGTCCCATAGCACCACGAACGACACCTTACTGTGGCGTCTTTCCTTGAAGAAAAGCGGGCACTTCTTCATAAGTTTAAGAGCAGCGGCACCTCGTGACAGAATCGAAATGGCCTTCACCAAAAAATAATTCATCAATCTTAACGTATTAAGTTTAGGCTAGATTGAAAATTCGGGTACCAGAAAACGTTTTTTCAGCGTTTTTTCAAAAGTATTCAACTCTGCGGTAAATTACTAGCTTAGGCAAACTAGGCTATACTTATACAATAAATAATATTAAACTAAAGAAACATTCGCGATGAATGTTTTTTTTAGTGCGCTGTCGGCAAGTATGCCAAAAAGCTTCTCTTTATCTTCGAACTTACCGTATGATACCGCCCAGCAGTTTTTAGGTAGCCAGAATATGTAATCCTATAGAACTCTCACAAAAAGCTTATAATTGTACGTTTTATTAATACGCGTATATGATGTTACACGCTCGTGCATATGGCATGCTAGAATATTCAAACTCAAACTTATGTTTGCGCTCAGTGCAATAAAGATTTACCTTGAGCTGCAGCGGTGCCTTCCGCTGCGACTGTAGCCATCTGTTTCTGCCCAAGTCCGCCAGCGCCGGCAGCAGTAGAAGTGTTCTGTAATGTTGAAAGATCTCCGCTTTGCAAGGCACCTCCGACTCCCGTTAGCATAGGACCAGTTTGCATTGTTCCAAGAGTCCCTTGAGCTACGGAAGACCGAGTGCCCAGCAATGCCGGTTTTACTAGTGGTGTCGAACTGTTCGCTTCAACTGGAGGTTCTTCATCCAAAAGCTCAAACCCAGTGGATCCCTCGTCCGTCTCAGACATCGTCGTACTGTAAACACGCCACATAAAAACAGTTAGTATATATAGTACATGATATAGATCAGCTGGCGATATATGGCGCACATTTAGTTAATATTATTCTATTCAATTGGCTTTGTTAATAATGTGCACTTCTTTTGAAAAGTAAAATTCCAATCCTCATAGGAGCAGCCCTAAGAGTGTAATAGGAATAAATAAGCACTGAAACTGCAATTCTGTCTTGGTGCATAACTATAGTAATTCTCTGCTTTTCCTCATGCACTACTCCGCTGAAGCAATAAACATTATTATTATCATTATTATTGATAAAGTATGCTTGAAAACCAAGCCGTTTTTTGCACATTTCGTGTACATAGACCCTGCAAGTCGCAAATTCTTCTTCAGCATCTTGTGTACGCACTCGAACACCCCCTAGAAGGTTGTGTTGAAAGGAATTATACGAGATCAAATTATCTAAATGTTTGCATTTATAAAATATATTAAACTATAGATTACCGAAAACAGTAAAACGGCCTGATGTTTGATTATTTTACTTGAAAATTATGAAACACAAATTACCTATAAAATATTTGTTTAACGGATAGTATCGAGACTGGGGTCGTAACAAATACAACAAAACTATAAATGTTTCCTGCCAACTGCTAATGATGCAAATCAACAGAGAAGATATGAAGAAGCAAAAGTCACTAGACTTTTGCTTCTTCATATCTTTTCTGTTCTAATTTACGGGAGCAAAACTTATCACAGTCGGAATGCCGGAACGATGAAGCGACTTGCAACAATGGACGAGCCATTTTTTACTTAGAACAAGGGAACTGACAGCTTCACTGTCAACACATACTGGCGTAATGCTAACCGAAAGACTGCTCCATAGCATACGTAATCTTGGATAGAACTGATAGGTTTTGATTGTAAGAGAAAATCAAATGTAAATCAGCTGGTCAGCGAAAATTGCATTTTCGTCAACACGACTGCGGAAGCTTACGTTTGAGTACGTACGCCACTACTACCATATTCTTTTTATGATTTTATAGATCACGAATTACTTGATTATAGGCAAGCAGAGGCTAAGGCGGGATTTGGAAAACTGCGTCCTAATAGCCTCTGACTTAGCTGTATTTGCCCCTAGATTACCCTAGAATAGCAACCCTCATATTCGTCATTTGAAAGCTAAGGGTGACCATTTCCATAGAAAACAACAATTTTTACCCGGCCTGATTGCAAGCAGCTGGACGTCCTGTTAGAATCGCATCCATATACAAAATTAACAACCCTTATCAAAAAACAGACGTCTATGTAAGTGCATCTTGTAAAATACCCACCGCAGTTCCTGCACAGAAGACATTAACGATGGAATCGTGCGAAAGTTCACTCTGTAAATGCATACAAACGAATATTCGGTCATTTGCCACCATGCTGTAGGTAGCCTAAGAAAACCTTTGTTTTCTTCAAATTAAAACAGTTCAGGAAGACCACATAAAAGTATATTAACCGCGGTAAGAATTTTCAAAAATTGCCAACCTCGATATTATACTATATGCTGCTATCTGCATTATATTTTTGTATGCTCTATTTTCTGATTAAACAGCAAATAGTGTGTTTCCTTGCATTAGTAATCAAAGGAGAATGTTTATAAAAAGATTTTGAAAATAACGAGAATGTTCAATACTCTAAAATGCTCCAGTGTTTTCCTAATGATTTATTTTGTCGCCATACGAGGTTTAAAACTCGCACAGTAAAGCCTGGCATTTCGAAAAATCAGAAATATCTTGAGAAATCTTCATGATCATAGCGTAGTCTGTATGAGCAACAATAATTTATCAACTTTTGTAGTATTTCGAATTAGAAATTGCTCAGCTGTTAGGGATTCCATCTCCTTAGGAGAAGCCTCAGGTTGTCGCATTCACGCAGTGGTCTACTGTTTACTTATTTGTATGTAGTGCGTACTAGGAGAGCCTGTATACTATGTGCCTTAAATTTGATTATTTGAATGTTTCTATGAGTCACTGCATGTAGCGAAGTTGCCGAAGGATCAGTGCTGCAACTACCCGTCTCATTGGAAAACAACATGGAAAGTAATTAGTGAGATTATGCAGATGCACCCAGTTCGAAAAGTGACGGACCTGGATCAACTGTCACTACATACGCGTGTGTTAAATCGACAAGAAGAACTTTATTCTATTCAAATAAAAGAAAGTGGCGCAGAAAAAAATCGCTGGATAAATTGTAAATTGAAGAACATGGCTTTTTTAATTATTTAAAGATATTTATAGGTAAAAAATATTAAAGGTGTTTGAAGATATTGAAATCTAGGCTTCCAAACACTTCAGCCTTTCTAAAGACGTAAGACAAATAGCTCAGCATTTTGAGAGATATGATAAACGTCAATAAACATTGAAATCTGAATCTGACACCTTAGCGATATAAAGAAATTGCAATCATCTTAAAAATACCTAATACGCCAGAAGAAGTATATTACGTTTCGTTACAAGATAATAGCTAAACAGCTAATTTTTTATTAAAAGTTTTGTGTAATGCAGTATTATCATTACCTCCCTGTGGAAGTAATGCAGTACTTGTTGAATTTAAATGAGCTATGTATGAATTTGGTGGCCATTTACAAGCTTGCGTATACTCTAATAATTTGGCAGCAAAATCACGGTAGATGCAAGGCGTTTGATGTTTGGCAAGATGTTTGGCGTCTCATCTCGTCATAAATCTGAACAATCGCTGCTTATTGTTGTCATCGTTGATTCGATTGAAACATTTTAAAAGCTGCCAATGTATATAAATAATAGCACGCTCGTAAACCAACTCCTTCCCCAGAGCAGCGTACCCGCTAAGAATACCGCCACTTCCCACAGCGAGAAGTCGAACCACAAAAGCTCAATTATTGGATTTCCCTCCGTCACCATGCCCCAAAATAGCGGTTCTCATCTCCATCGAAAAGATTCGGTACTCAAACATACTGAACAGCTCCATTTATAGCGAATGGTTGGCCAGGATCCATTACATTATATTTAACATATACGTATGTTGTATGTAACATGCAGTTCACCGACAGGACTGGCCAACATCGGTCCACAACTAACGGGCTGTACCTCATTACTCTATTTGTAGTCATTGTTATGTTTTAATTATTAACATATAACTGATTTTATACTACTACAGTCCTTGGACTTCTTGAATAATTGCGGTTATGTTAGCGTTTTACTACACTATTTGTGATGGCCTCGTGCGTTCGTTTCTATGAAGTTGTTCCTCCAAATAATAACAACAGTCGAACTTTCTACTTGATTATTCCAGCACATTTTGCAGCATGTTGCAGGCAGGCATTGTAAACGTCCCAATAGACTCGTAGCAAGAGAAAAGCTTTTGCTTCTCGTTGTTACCAACCACTTCTGTCATAGCTATTTACATTAGTTTAAATTGCAACGAGTTGTCAGGGTTGTCGACACGCATAAAGCACAACAAGCGTTCGATTCTCTATTTATTCAAGTCACACGACTCACGCTCACGCGAGTAGTACGCGATGTAGCATCTGTATGATGTAACAACTTTTCGCTATTCGCCCTACCTTCAGAAAACGTTGTTTGGACCAGTTAGGCTACAGACGACATGATGTTGGCTTTCCACTACTTAGCCACGACCATAATAGTAGCACAGGACTGAAGCAGCGTTGTTGCGCAGTAACATAAAGAACAGGGCTGGAGACCTGAACACGTAGAGGGAGCTATTAGCTCCATGTAGCTTTGTCCTACCAATTGCCTTTTGTGGCACCACACCTTCATACTGCACAAACACTTCACAGTTTGCGTGAAAAAAGGAAGTATTTTTTTAGAACGAATCTAGGCGTCCATAAAGCTTAGACATCACGAATTTAGAAGAGCCTAATCAATTAAATTAACGAAGCTCTCATTTGTTAGTACCATCACCAATCATGTTTTAAAATTATAAATCAAATTCACTATAGTTGTCTATAATAGCATGGCATCGGTTGCAATTTCGCCTGACCCTAATACTAATATTTCTAGGTATGGTTAATATACAGTGAAAATATACAGATTTGCCCACTAAGCTTGCTGACTACTACTGTTATTGTCAGAAGAAGAATAATCGATTGTTGATACTCACAATAGAAATTGGCTCCAATCTTCTGTTTGCGATACAAATACGGTTCTCCTCTACCAAAGCTGTTCATGCACTCGATACGTAAGGGTTGTAATTAACAGGGCCGGATCTTTTTTCTGTCCTCTACAGTTGTCCCACTTTGAAGTACAATGCGATCTGTCTTCCTCTACAGCACACAAACTATAATAACAGTAATGGCATTCAAAATAGAAAATACCAATGCCGCGGCGACTACTTCGTGGTAACACCGCCTTTAAAGTGAAGCGTTAGCAAGTGTGTTGATTGTCTCCTAGGGTATTTACTGTTTGTAAGATTGTACAATGGGCCTATTATGGTCACCAATGCTCGGCTTAGGTCTTTCAAGCAGCCACCCTTCCCTCTACTGCAGCTTAGGCTCACTTGACCTGTGCGTTTCGCCAGCCAAACAGCTGGTTGGATTGTTGCTTCTGTTGCTCACTGAGCAGCTCAGACGACCAGTCAACGAACGAAGTTTTATGAAGTTGGGTACAGCAAAAACAACGGCAGCAGGTGGGGCGAAAGTAACGCTTACAGCTATCGACTCATTAGTCCTGCTATGTGCTGTTGGTGATCTGCGTAATTTAATATCCTGGTGTGGACATTACATTACGCGCTTTGGAAAATACCCTCTCCACCAACGAAACAACGATGAGCGTCTGCCATGCATAATACACAATACCGCGAAACTTTGAATATCGCCACTAACGATGAGCACCCATTAGCCGATTGCGTGTAGCGTGGAACGAGACGTTGGCCATTTTTTGAGCACGCGATTTTTCGTTGTTCTGTTACGTGCAGACTGCCAACCTGTTTAAGCAGGTTCATAGTATACGAAACAGGCGGCAACAGAAGGCTGCCGATAAAAGTTTAGCTGTAGAAGAATGAGTGACAGTAGTTAACAATTCCAGGGCTTTAGCAATACGTAGTGTTATTATAGGAAGAAGACTAACGAACCTTGTCGTTTAATTGGCGTCTCAAAGAGTTGAGCGTAGTGATTGATGATTGCTTTGGAATTATCTCAGACTTCAAACTACTAGTACTTAATTAACTACTAATACAAATATAAACTCCGTATTCGCGAAAATTGCGGCATAAAACTTATCGCAGTAAATGCAGAGTAACTTGGTGAGTGTCTGAGCAGGAAAAAATAAATTTTAATTGCCTGAGAAACTTGTGTGATAAGACTGTCTAAACGTGCAGTGTGTGGGTCGTGATTTAGGTTTATATGTTGCATATGCTTTTTGTTTTTTCTCATAGGGATGTCGATCAGGATAATCTTTGTGAAACACCGTGTTATGTAACATGCATGCTTTTGAAATAATAAAATAAATAGACCCCCAAAGTCTTTTATGTTTTTGTCGTTCCGCAAAAGTGTATTTTAGAAAGGGCGCTATCAATTGGTAAACACCATCCAGTTAACTAATTATTTTTTCACTAAAGCAACAATTTATATTTTAGTGATGATAACTTTACATTTAGCGAACCCTTTTAAAAAAGCTACTTCTGTCACGCAATATATTGCAGCAATGAGGTTTCTTCTACACTCTGTTCTACTGTCCGTGGCAACCTGCCAGTTGTCTTCAAAGAGTAGGGTAAGCTCTTTCGACTTTAACGAGAACTTTCTGTAGACTAATTTTGGGATTCTATGCTAACTAAAAAATTGAAATCTTGGTCAGGTCATGGAAGCAATAATTTTTGCCTCGTTGATAATTGAATTGCCGGACTTAATTCCGTGTACCTCCATGCAAAAACTCATTGTTACTCTTAAAAGATTTATTTTCTTATTTTAACCATTGAGCATTTCACTCCTTTGACGCTGAAACTAGTTGTATACCATTATTTTAACTCACAAAGCGCCAACCTATTATCATCAAAGTAAGTACAAATATGCTTGAAAATTGTCCCCGTGAACTTAGTTAACCTCTAGGAGGCTGTTAAAATTAAATGATGGTTTCTTGCGAGTTCGTTGTCAAACGATTAGCGAATACCTACTATACAACATATATCTATATGGTAGTTGTCATACGATTACTATCTATCCGTGTTTAACTTTAAAATACCAGCATCTCCATATGTCTCACGTATTTGCATTACGGTTTTCAGGAAGTGAATCCTGCAAAACCTGGCGAGGAAAGCGTCTTTGATCGCGGTCTCGTTACCGAAAAGGTCACTTGGAAGAGTATAGTCAAGTACCGGAACGCTTATAGCACTTCTCTTGCACAACACAGGAATTTCTCTGGTGATGTGCTTGCTTATGTTACGCCGGTGGGTTGTCCACTCAGTTCTGTTCAACTATTTCGAAAGCTTACCAGACATAAAACTCAAAACATAGTTTAATAAGTTACTTTCATAATTTTTTTTTCTGTGTTAAAGCGTATACCCCATGTAATCAGTCTTCTTCGAGGGTAAGCCGATCGTACTCTTAGTAAATAAATTATCTTAACATGAGACCTCAGTGCAGTGACAGTGGCACCGACTCCATACAAAGGATGTTTTTTGTGGTCTACGTTCGGTACTTAAGCCGTTAAGTATTGCTGTAGATGATTGGTACCTAACGCGAAACGAAGGGTGTTTACGTGAAGATTTAGGTTTAGACCACCACGTGTCCCTGAGTTCAGCAGGCATATACATTACCTACTATGCTAAACATGGGGAGTAATGTATATGGAGAAAGGAGAAGCTCGATATCTGCAGTATCGGGCTTTTTCTTGGATTCCTCTACCCTTCTTATTCCTATGATATGAAGGGCATGATACTATTAAAAATAACTGAACATTGCTACAGGGTCTGAACCCGCTACAAAATTACAACTTGCATTGCAGTAATTGTAAACTTTCCCAGAACTTCCTGGAAGATTCATAGATATAGACAGATAGCTAGGAAGGTGGTTATCTGAAAGAAAGAATTTTCTTTTAAGGAATCGCCTTGCATATATTCTAGGAATCGAGTAAAGAACGAATACGTTGAAAAGTTTTTTTCGCGTGTCACAAATTGTTTATTCCAGTGTGACACACGTAGCCGTAAATGGAACAAAATGTAAGATTTTCTTGAGTTAAACATCAGAATACGAACTGTTACTGAAAGCAACGTTTTTTTGTTTTTTTTTTTTGTGTTCCCATTTCTAGAAATAATCAAGCACGCACTAATTTAGGTATTACAATTGTTGTCCGTATTGTACGCATTATATCCCTACCACTGTAAGAAATAAAAGATCATTCAAATAGTAATCATTATATTCATAACAAGCTCGAGTGCGTGTGCTTGGTGTATACATTTAGTGGAACAACCATGGTTATGACGTGGCCAAAACGTTTGGTTCTAAATTCACGCAAATATCACCAGTGTGGCTTCAGCTAAGATATGATTCTAGCTCAGCATTTGTAATATCCGGACGACATGACATCGATAGCGGATGGATTCGCGATGTACGCGATACCGGAGCAAAAATGCGTAGGTACACAGCATTGAATACCGTTTAGAGAAAAACAAATGTGGTGTTATAGCTTTTAGGTTAATTATCATACACATGTAAGGGGAACTTTATCCGTCAAGTATATTTTCTGTATGAATATAAAAAGATTATTGCAGGTTCATTTGTGCAGTCATCGACCAGCCATTTGCCTGCTCTAGAGAACACTTAACTTTATTATATGGCAAAAATGTTTAGATCGATTGAACTTTGCCTTGTGATGGTATGAGTACGTAACAAACACGATCCTCGATCTTGTCATTATTTGAGAATGATTTTGTCAGTTTTGCCAGGACTTATGAATTTTTAATGCTTTCAAGCCCTACATTTACCGTAATGACAAACCTAACAAATTTTCTTTTAACCCATTGGTTTGCCACAATAGCACAGTTTCATTAGTTCGATGTAAACTATAAAACATGTACCACATACCTACTAGCAATATAAAAGAAACGTGGCGGCAAATGACACATAAGAAAAAATAAGGAAACTTTTTATAATGCTATCTAACCAAATACTTTTTTCAGTGCCCCGAGTTTTATTTGAGGGTTGGACTCCGCAGCAGATCAGAGATCTTTCCATGTCAAGTGGAAAGCTTGTCACCCTGGGAAAGGTGCTTACTAAATTCGCACGCGAAAACAACTTTGACGGCTATGTCTTCGAACTCTGGTCTCATTACAGTTATGGAGGAAGGTTAACTGAGTGAGTTCAATTTTTATCAAAATTACTTTTCGGTACATGTGATGCCTTTCAAGGCCGATCCCGTTAGACTGCCATATCTCGGGTTTTTAAAAGTGTGAATACTGAATGTGATATAATATCATATAATGTTCAGCTCATTTATAAGCAATTTTAGATTGTACAAGCGGCTTCAACGTTAGTCACTAAAAAGGTTTCTTTTTGCGGTGTTCTTTTGGAATTTGTAGCGTGCTCATCGCAATTATTCGCGGCTTGTATTCATCGCTTCAAAATGATAGCCTTTCCTTGGTACTAGTTATTCCTCCTCCCCTGTATGATGATATACCGGGAATGTTTTCTCGTGATCATTTCGATAATTTAAAGGACCACGTTACATCTTTCTCACTGATGACCTACGATTACTCAAATCCACAGAGGTATGTGTAAAACTGATACTGATGCAACCACCAAACAGTTTATAAAGCAGATGTTAAAATAACGATCCAAGTTGTTGCATTGTAAGCTTCGCTTGCAAGATTAACCGGTCGCTGCTTATTCCTTCAAAATGTTGCTTCACTGTGAACGAAAACGGCAATAACCTCTAATGCAGTACGTTTTGTATATTATATATTGGTTGGATGTTGTGATCACAGGTAAGTTATATCTAATGAATTAAAATGCTATTCAAGTTGATCAATGGCACTCATGTGGCCATTATCAACAAAAGTGTGATAAAATATTCTGACTGGTAACGTTTTCTAGCTCCATCTGTTTCAAGATTGTCTTTGTATAAACTCAAATTCATTATCTCAGTAATGCACTTCTAAGTTATATGAAACCTTAGGCAGGTAATCTTGATGATGGACTCGGAATTTGCATGTCCCACTATATTTAGTATCTAAACTTGTTGTGTTTATATCTATGCAGACCGGGTCCAAACGCCCCGCTGAGTTGGATGCGTCAATGCGTCGAGCATTTGGTGCCAGGAAGCATTTCTGAAGATCAAAACGTTGCTAAATACCGTGGCAAAATCCTCTTAGGGCTCAATTTTTACGGGTATGATTACACAGCCCAAGGAGCGAGTTCGGCAATCCTCGGCAATCACTTTGCTGAGATGCTGCAGAAGTTCAAGCCAAAAATCAGTTGGAGTGACCAATTCGCCGAGCACTACGTTCAGATTCGAGGGTCTGTCAAACAGTTTTCAATTAATAGTTCAGGAGAGATATTGGTTTCTATAAAATCAGCTTTCATCCATCTTACCTAATTCGTCTTCTGTTATATTGCAGTTCTGAAGGACACCACATGGTGTTCTTCCCAACCCTGAAATCCATATCTTCGAGGATTGATTTGGCGACCAAACTTGGCACTGGATTGTCGATCTGGGAGATTGGTCAAGGCATGGACTATTTCTATGATCTCCTATAGAAGCGTCTCTGTTTCTATTTAACTCAAATGTAATTACTATATCATTAATTTGTGAAGTTTTAATAAAAGTTTACTCTGTATATAGGTGAAAGAATGTCGGTATATTAGTAAATCTGGTATTTAAAGATTGGAACGCACTTCTCAGTGAGTGAACAGCACATACGTGTTGAAGAAGCTATAATTTTTGCAACATCAAACTACAATATAAAACGCTGAACAATAAAAAAAAATCGCTACATGAAAGCAAACACTGCTTCGTTCTTCCTGGCACCGTGGAGTCAGTACGTGCTTTTTGAATGCTTTCTTTATGCACTGAGCAAATGCAGTTTATTAGTGTGGCAAGGCCACCATGTGCGCTTACTCTTGTAGACAAGGTGCTTCAATTGGAAACGTTCCATTTGCAAGCTAATTGCAATACTGTTCTGAATATCTGATAGAATATCGTAACTTCCGATGACACAGGTAGAGTTCCACCATTAGCAATCGTTTGCATGCTTTTTTTTTGTTCACAGAAACGTTTCAAGATTTTAGTTCGGAGTGAGACTTTCCTAGGGCTCTAAATGAAACTTTGGCACGAACGTCTGATCACATGTGGCCTGTTCTGAAGTATAGTCGCCCTGCTGCTTTTTAACGGTCTGACAATGAAATAAAAATTAAGAGGTGTCAGTCTGGAATAATTACAAATGTGTTATAAAATTTACATTGTCATTATAATACCTCTAACATTCAAGAAATGTAATCGGATTAGTTAAAATTTCAGCTTCTATATGCCTGACAGTTTCGTGTGTTGCCTTACCGACATAAAAGGTTGCAAAATACTTTTAAACGATAGCTCGTTTTATATAAATGGTTCTTTTTATGTATATTCCTAATCGTATTAGCTCATTAGATGTAGCACCTCAGTAAATAGAAAAAGGAAGTTGAATGCAAAATATGATCAACATAACGACAGATTATTCATTTCATTATAAAAATACTTTATTTATACGAAGTTACGAGACGAGCACCAGTAGCATGAGGGGCACGCAAAATTATACTTCCAGGATATCGTCAAGAGCTTTCATGTTATACCGAAACCATACTCTACATAACAATTGTGGTTAATAAAAAAGCGGTTGCCATGCAAACGAATGATAAGTATTGTTGACTTGTCGCGATGATAATGAGGTATGTTACAACAATGTGTAAGTATCCGTTTATAGAAAGCTATCCAAAAAAGAGTGCGCCCCCTTTACGAGAGAAATACATCGGTGAACGCCATTGCTAAACAAGATAATGCAACCCACGGACTGAGACGTTCTCCTATGCGGGCAAGCTTCCATAAAGTGCTCCTTAACCTGTAAGAAGGTAAGAGAAAGGAAACGCTCTATTTAGAAAAGCTTCTTTATAATTGAAAAATGGCAGCTTGTTTTATTTTAAAAGTCAAATATCTGTCTTTGAAACCGCTAAAAATTTGTCGGTTCGCACATGATGATCGAAAGTCGCTTAAGCTACATCAACTAAATTAGAGCAATAAAAATATGTTTACGGCATGATGGCAGATCACCACGAACAAGCCTTATGACAATGCGATGGTAACGTCTTTTCCTATTAAAACTACGTGCATACTAGCTTTCAAACTCAGAACCGGGTGTAGCCGCCCTTTGTTTAGTAATAGAGGACAAACGTTTAAAGCAACGCTTAATGGCAGTATTGGAAGTAAATTTCAAAACATTTTGACCAGTGTAAACCAATGACAAAGTAAATATAAGATCAGATGCCCTCGAAGGTCTCCGCCCTTATTTCTAAATCGACTGGGTAACCCGATTCACTACGTACATAGTTTATCGGTGTGCATATCATTAAGTGCCCGGCCATAAAATCTTTGATAAGTCCTCGTCGCACTAATATAACCTAAGCTTAGAAGGTAGTAAAGAAAAAGGCCAAAGGCAGAAAATTGCTTAGAAGAGGCAACGTTAAAGAAAACTAACTATGTGATTTTTCACGAACCCCTGCTTATTTTTGTCGAGCAATGCTGGGTAAAGGGACCGTACGTAGGCGCAAGTACAAATCATCAGCAAAAGCACTGTCAAAAGCGCCTGGAAGTTGAAGATCGCCGACTAAAAACAAACAAAAGATATAAAAGTTACAGCTTCTATGAGCCCATTGTATTACATACTTATGCAAATAACAGACACTGAATGCAAGCTACCTTCGCCCTTTTCATAAGTGGGTCAAGCAGCTTTGAGCAATACCAGTGATTAGCATTCGTATATATATATATGACAAACTACCATATAGAGTACCATATACATTCCCTACATTCATGAGTGCCCTACATTCGTATGATCTTTAAATGCTATTGAAATTGATTTAATTCACTTGTGCATCTACGGTAATTTTGATTGGATTAAGAAAATGTTAAGAACCTACATTTTTTTTTCTAATAATTAGTCCATGGGATTCAGTCCAAATAAAAAGTAGTGGAATTACATATTGAAAGTTCCTGACAATACTGCGCTATTTGAGTTGCGTAGGGGCAAAAGCGAAGATAACTGCTTAAGCAGTTTAAGCAATTCATGAACCGACCTCATCTTTTTTAAAGCCGCTGCATGCTTCCATTACTAAAGGAATATTTCATACTTGTTTACCCGAATTATACCTAATCATCCAGAAGTAATGGGCAAAGGGTCTAGTATTGTGCCTCATCCATTGCGAGAACAAAAACACCAGATTAGAAATTATGTTGTAATAAATTTATTTAACAAATTCTGTTTTATCTTGCTATATACATTTTGATGATTTACTGGGTTCTCTAGGAAAATAACTACTACGAAACGCATGTTGTTTATATGTACAGAATGTTTCTACAAAACTGCGCTCGAGATACCGTTTCCACAAATTTCAATGCTACTTTATTGTCCTGAAGCCAAGCTAGCTATTCTAAAGCAGGTAAGCGTATTTGGTCCACTCACTAAAATAAATCTTAGCCCACAAATACAAATGTTTGAGTTAAATACTAATGTCACTTTGAAAACTTCTGTTGCTTTGTTTCCCATTCCCGCCAACGATAATTTTCGTTTATCCGATTCAATAATCACTCCCTAGAAGCTCGGATGACTTTCACAACTCGCGTGGTCGTTACGTCCGAAGCTCGCTTGCCCATGGCTACAAATTTTGCACGTTCGCCACTTGAAAGCAACAACGCGGCTGGCGTGTTGGCAGCATTACTCAGGACGACTCGCACCAACTCCGTTCCTGTTTGTCCGGCATTGAACTGTTCTTGGTGCAGGCGGATGTTCGCTGCCCACTGCTCCATCTGTGCCTGAGGTACCGTGTCCACGACGACATTACGGGGCACGATCACGTGTACCTTTGACAGAGGGGCAACCGTCACCATTTGAGGATTGTGTGTCATTGTTAGCTCGGATACGATTCCAGAGCCCGTGGCAGCCTCCACTTCGGACGGCATAGACGACTGAACATCGCTAGCCTTCTCTGAGCAGTGTTCAGCTCTGTTTTCCATTTGAACGACATGGTGGTTCCGGTCGACGCTCGAAGCACCTGAGCCTGCAGCCTCTGCTGCAGAAATCAGTCCCGAGACGACGTTTTGCAATGACCGAAGTCGGCCCATATACATCCTAAACGATTCGTCTGTTTCCGGTGCTTGAAGCGTTTCTTTCAATCGAGCTAATTCGCTTCCCAGTAAATCCAATTTTTCTGCATGTTGAGGCAATCTGTAACTAAGTGGCTCACTAACAGGTGCGACTGCATGTGCATCGGGATGGTTGCTCCTTTGAAGGTAGTCAACGATGGCATGGATATGGTCGCAAACCTGGTTCCCTAGCTCCCACCAGCATGAACATGAAAACTCGTGGATACAATAGCAACATGAACAACGGGATTCGCAGCCGGACTGGCAGCTTTTCCCGGTGTGAACTACGGTGAAGTCACCGTCAGGTGTTCGGTGAACAAATTTTGATGTCGCCTGGACCTCAGTTTCGTCCGGAGTCGGATTGCTGTTTGTTCGTGAGCTAATGTTATACGGGGAATTATATGAGATAAGCCCATCAACTATTTTACTTCCCCAGCGGTTCATGAGCATGTGGTCAAGATAGAGAGTCATTGTTGTGTGTTCCTGCTCAAACTCACGATATATAGTTGCGCAGTCGCCGCCCATATAGCATGGTGCCCATAGAAGGCTCCTATTGACGAATACCGTATCAAACAGGTCAACGAACGGCCGCGGGATATTTTCGGTAACGAGAACGTCCTGCAGTCGAGCAAGATTTCTCGAGAACTCTTCCACTGTTATCGGCGATTTAAATAGACCATCAAAGCAACTGCTAACCGTTAGCGCCTTAGAAGGTTCCGCTACGTGTTGGACTAGAGCTAACTCTAAGGTGTGTCTCATCTGCCAAAGATTGACTTGCTTTTTTGGCACCTTACCCCGGCCAAACGTGTGCAAAAAATTCACAAAGTACTCGTCGTGGTCATCCGAGAAAAACATATCGCAGTTGAATTTGCCGGTGTGTCCTACGACAGCATAGTAAAATGTCTGGATGTAAAGCTGGGGCTCGGATGAACTTGTGATAAACCAAGCAAGCGGGAAAACGAGCGGACCATCTTCGCCAGCACGAACATAACAGTTCAATGTGACAATACTGAAGCTAAACTGCTGAACAGCGTCCGCGCACACGGCAGCGATGCGTGCTGAGTACCTTTGGAACATCTCGAGTTGTTGTGGTGTTAGGATGACGGCGTAGAACTCCGCCGGATCAAGACCTTCCACCTCGGCTTCACTTGGCTTATGGACGAGCACCATATTAGGAGAGTTTTCGAGTATACGACCGACTTCAGCAAACATGCTGACAGCAACACTTTCGGTAAACTGCTTACCAAAGCATTGCTCTATATTGCGTACGTCGGCGGAGGAAAGCCGCGCCAATGGCGACGCTGAATACGTCAACTGCTTCAGAAGTTCAGCGACTTTATGCGCTGGCTGACCGAGGTGAATGAAGCGAGCAATGCGGCACCGATGTGACGGGAGCAAAGACATAAATTGCTCTTCGACAGTGTGGCCGTAATGAGATACACAGCCCTCAACTTCGACTGAACCATTAGGGCGCTCCAGAACGCGTAAATGCAGTACACATTGGATGCCAAGCTTGACAGGGCCGTGAGCGCGTTCTTTACGCAACCTCAACATGGTGTTCTTGCCTCGGCACTTGCCACTGCGATGGCACATAAACTGCATTCGGGTGCCTGTACGGGCAAACTGTTTACTCCCACAAGTGCGCACAAAGCGTGTTCCGGTCGTCTCCTGGTACTCCTCCATCCAAGCGTAGAATCGCGGAATACTGGGGAACAATGTCGACAGCTGATCGAGCTGAATATTGTGCACGTTTTCCAGATGTGAACATAGATCAGCTTTTGAATGAAACGCGGCATTACAGTCAACCTCTAAACAGACCTGGTCCAGGGAAGCTTTTTGTTGAGTTGTATTATTTCGATGTGCTTTCCGCATATGAGACCTCAGTCCATCACGACTTTTATATGATCGCTCGCATTGAGTACAACGAATTAGATCGCCTTCTGCTGCTAGCTGATCCCCCGCTGACTCCTCCTGCACGAGAATGTGAGTACCCTCTGCCCCCTCAGGCTCGGCAGACAGACCCAGCTGTTCCAGCTGGACGGTCTCGAACTCCATCTCCTGAGAGTCGACCTTTTCTTCCATTTCAGCTGATCAGATAAATGTCCACTTAATTACTACAAACGCGAAGCCGATCAACTAGCTGACCCCTGCTAAGCAAGCTGTAACAACCCATTGACTGTATAAGGATGGACGTCACGAGTTCATATACGGTATTTTATTGACCCCAAGCATTAAGATTCCGCATCGGATGCCTGGTTATGTCGGGGTCGCAATTCATTTAGCGCTCAATCTAAACTTGAATCTTGGCGAAAATTCGGCATTTAGTAGCCCTAACGCTCTGCACTTAGCGGTCCAGCTCTGCGGTAACGGCGAAGTCGAATCAATAACACAGTCACTGCCTCGAATCAGTAGAGTTATAATAACACGAAATTGACACTAGTTACTGTTTTCAGAAGCTCTAGGGGCGTACTTTTTTCAAAATCACGAGCGAATTGCATACAACAAACACCCAAAGAGCGCCATCTTGGAACTGTTTCGAAGAGTACGGGGCGGTGCCTATGTAAAGCTGAAGATAGCAGCAGCGCGACATATTTATTATCATTTCGAAGAACCAACATTGAGCCATCTAGCAACTTGTAAAGACTTTTTACAGTGAATGCAATTCCGGTGAACAAACGCCGAGACAAATTCTCAGACCACGTTACATCGCACGGCTTTTACGTAAAGGTAAATATGTAAGGTGTCTATACAGAGAAAGGGAAAAAATTGGATATGCAATAAAACCGCGTACGATGATAGTAACTATTAATGGCCGACACGCAACCGCATTTTATCCATAGTATATCCATATCCAGTACCGGGACCATTTTTTTGGCTTATCTACTTACCATGATTTAGACGAGATGAAACAATCGGTAAACTGTCACCACATTAGAAGAGTCTTCGACTTATCAGCTGACGTTGTCGCATGGATCATATTTAGACACAATTTCGAAAGCACGCTTAGAACCGATCGGCGTGCGTTGTCTTTTAAAATTCTAGCTTGCTCCTTTCAATAATTTTCCCCTAGCGGTATAATCAAATGGAGTTGAGTTCTAACCGACAAAAATATTTATGTGAGCCTAGCGGCTCTGAGTGAGCTATGCCAATGCTACTTTCGAAGTACCGCCTGTGTTTAATAATTGTGCTACACCAGAGCATATCAACACAAACTCACAACTATAATAACAAATCAACAGCACTGAGAAGCTGCTCCGCATCTGGCTAGCAGCTATTATGTGACGCCCTCATCGCGGGTGCCATTCAAACGATTTCGAAGCCCTGTAGTAATTTCTTGCATAGCTCCGATTTGCATAAAAATGTGATTTTAGCAATGGCAAATGAGCGCTAAGCGTAGTCGACATTAGCCTGTCACAGACTATCAACTGTAGCAAAGATAGGTATATTCGATGAGGGTGGTTGTCACCAAAAGGTTTACAAGGCTGTCCTCAAGTTGCCAGGGTGCTTGTAGTATGTTACTGGATTGCGAAGCTCTTCTGACGAGCCGCTGAGTTGTAAGGCGATTGCAGAAGCTGCTAACTTGGCTGTAAAATAAGCTTCAGTGCCCCAAAGTTAGCACCCGGTGGTGAACATATAAGAGAAAACAGCCTAAATGGCAGACCTGTACCTGCCAAAAGGCTGGAGGCGCGAAGAACAAGCCCGGAGATTGGGCCTATCCGCCGGAAAGGTTGACGTCTTTTACTATGGGTAAATAGAGTTTAATTATATTTTTTAATTCGCGCTTGTATAATTAAAAAAGCTATTTTTCAATTATGATATAAATAAAAATGTTTTTCATATCTATTTACTAATAGTATTTTATAATGCCGTAGCTTTCAAGCATATTACAAAGTTTGTTGGGCTGTAGAGAATTATTTGCCGAAAGTTGACCTATGTAATTGATTAATGGACATAAAAGGCCGCTTACCTACATGTCAAATTTTTTTCAAAAAAGGGTGTTACGAAGTTTGCAGTCAGTACTGCCATGTTACAGTTTGGTTGAATAGGTCATGCCATTGAATGTTCGATAGCAAGACAGTGTCTTGAAAAAAAGATTATTTACTTTTATCATCTAGATAGATATCTGTTAGAGATATATAGCTATCACTAGTTCAACTTCAGCAGCATATAGATTTTTCTTAATTGGCTTTATTGAAAGCTTCACTTAATGAGGCTGAAGTATTATACTATAGGCGCATTAGTCTGGCTAGATTGAGTGCAAATCTATAATACAAATTTGAAAATGAGATATACTTCACGATCAAAAATCCAACGCGAGTAATTAAAAAGCAAGGTACCATTAAATGCAAAATGATGATTTAAACGTAGACGATTAAACAGTTAAATTTAATTTAAGGTATAATTCGTCTGTACGAGAGAAAATGAAATATTGCATTAGAATTTGTGTTGCGCATTTTTCTTTATGATGATAATGCTTGTCGCGATCAGCCCTGACGGGCAGAGGTACCGCTCGAAACAGCAGCTTGCCAAGGCTCTCGGTGATGCTGTGGATTTGACGGCGTTCGACTTCCGATCCGGTAAGCTGAGCGCAGTCGCAGCACGTAAAGCGCGCCAACACAGTCGAGTAACGGGTGGAGGAAACGGGGGAGGCCCTTCCTATGAATACCTTCGGGGTCTTAAGGCCGAGGCATGCCTTGTCGCACCCATCCGACAAACAGCGTCGATTTTTAAGCAGCCGGTTACTGTTGTGCACAATATGAAGGATTACACGTCTACAAAACATGACATTAAAACTATCGTTTCGAATGATAAGCCTAAGCAGGTAAGCTAGGTGACGTCACGTATTGCATTTATTAGGAAACGCGATCTTTCTGTTCCTACAGTTATCTGATTGGTCCGAATGCTTCTCCTATAGGTACAACGCCTAATCTAATCGGAGATAAATTATGCAAAGGAAAAGAACCAATTCATGCAGTTTAGTTTAGCATTTGAAAGTTCTTATGATCTTGTAGCTATATACACGATCGTTAATTCAAACATAATAACTGGGTGTATTAAGAAAAGTTTTGTTCTTGAACGAACACTTTCAATTTATACCGATGTCGATTTTTTTTACTGCTGTTTGTGAATGTTAGCCTCCGTTTCAATTATTCTGGGAACGCCGCCTCCAACGATTGGGCACAAGCGATCGCAACGGCTTGGCACAGTCACCTCTAGAATTGCCCCGTGGAATACGGGGAATCTCGCACGACCTCAGTAAAGACACGCTGCTTCGAAGCGTGGCCACGGCACTGCACGTTTCGCAGGGTCCTGTAGTAGGTCAACTTCATGCCAAGGGACAGCAAGACAGACATCCGGCAGTTTATATTAACCCCGATCAACCTCTTGTGCAGGTAGGTTAGCAAGCTTGCTGCCATTGTCATACAACAACAGTCTACCATTACCTCGTCTTTGCTTTTTATCAGAATAATTAAATACTATTGTTATTGTTATATATTGCTGATCACTTTGATCATATTGATTATATCATACTGATCATATTGATGTCACTTTGATCATATTGAGTATGTTCATTACTTATACTAAAAACGGTTATATTTAGTTTTTCCATTAATATAAATGTCATTGTTTATTGTTGTTTGTTTGTTTTGTCCTCACAATTCAAATCGAAAGAAATAAACTGTTTAGTCGACCGAATTTAACTATATTCCACCTTTTTCCACTCTGCACTTCTTAGGCATTGATTGTGACCGAGGAAGATATCCGAAAGCAAGAAGAACAGGTTGTCATGGCCCGAAAACAGCTGCAGGCTGCTCTACAGGAATTACGTAATATCGTCGAACAATAATTGGGGATTTTCAGCCTGCCGGCTAGTGTTACTGTAAAACACCTGGTTCTGCAAGGATCGCTGGAAGAAGTTGCAGCAACTCGGTGGTGCGACCACGGTCTACCAATATCTAGTATAGACTGTTTATACATAAAGCGTGCATGTACACCCACAAAAGCTTCGCTTATTCAGCTAACTAGTAAGATATATATACATAATGTATACGTGCCACGGTAGTATATGTAGAAGGACATTACGCTTGGTAGACACTTTAGGAGATGCATAAACTATGTTCACGCAAACAGACCTAAAAGAGGAAAAATGAGCTTCAGAGTTAACGAATATTAATGATTGTACACGCTGTCCCCGTATATGATAAAAATACTAGTAATATGTTGATTGCATGTGATAACACATGATCAGGTTTGTCAATATGGAATCGTATAGAGGTCATTTTTTCGAGCAGCTCAAAAGAAGTACTTAGAAAGAAACATAGAAGAATGCTGTAATAAATGAGATATATATATATACAACTGATAATAATGACTGACTCGTGTCAATTAGTTTAACCAAGACTTTCCGTGCTCATGTGCGTGAAAGTGCTGGAATTAATCATTAAGGAACTCTATAGGGGATCGAAATCATAAACGAGAAAACCGAAAACAAAATTTATTTTCCCTTCCCATCCAACATCATCTGTATTCGTATTTTAAATAGACAAAATCTTACAGGAATTTTGCAGTACATTTGCGACTCACCGATGGAACATCTCGCTAGATCTTACCTCGTTAGATGCCAGAGAGAAATGCTGACGACCTAACAAAGCGTTCTGAAATTATCCGTATATTATGGCAAAAAAATCCGATTTTTCAAAGTGGCATCCGAAATATAAGGAGACATATCAACTTGAAAAATAAAAAAACGTTTATAAGAAAAATTGTAAGACTAACACGAAGACAGTTCTAACGACACTAGAACAGTAGCAGCAGGCTCTTCATAGGAAGTAAATGTTTTCTGAATTTTTTTTCTTTAGATCACAGCTCTGCACTTGCATTTATAAACAGGAAACTAGTCAAATTTGTGGTATACAGCTTAACAGTCCTAGAACAATCGAAGAGTTTTAGCAGTTAACAGAATAAAAAGGTACCTAAATCATGCGCTAAAGCAGGACCCAGTACAAATTTAGCAAATATATCTAAGTTAGGTATAAGCATTTCAAGCACGCTTTAGCCAACACTGTGGACTGAAAGCACATACATTGCCTCACTTTGATATTCGCAACGATGGGTGTGTTCGGGTGCGTTCCTTGGACTTTCGTTTTGATTACTCGGAGCGCTGTCGTTGATCGCAAAGAGAATGTAAGTAGCATTTTAGGGAAAAGACAGGTGGTGGAAAGTTTAGTTTGCATTGACGATTACAGATCTATGTAAAAACTGTTTGCAAATTAACATGCTTCGTAAGATCCTGAAGCAATGTGGGCTTCTCCCGGTAGGCTGCGCTTAATCCGTCCAGATTATGCTCACTAAATCTGTGTCCGATCTCTCTTAAACTTCACTGTTGCCCCCCCCGCGTTTTGAAAGTTATGGGTTCAGTAAGAGTAGTGATAGATGCCACTCGCAATCGATATAAAATCCTGTAGTGTTTTTTCGTTAAGATCTAAAGTCGCTGAATTAGATCTCTCTTTTTAATTTAATCTTTCTTTTGGCGTAATTGCAAGCATATTAAGGTCTAGATTAGCCAATCAGCAACTTGTGGCAACTTTATCTACCAAATTTAATACAATGACCTCTGTCTACAGCTCGCCCTTATAAAATTCCCAATTCAAATATAAACTGTAATCATTTACACGGTAACACCTCGTGGATAATTTATTCATATAATAAACATTATGTTAATCCTGACCCGTACGTTTCCTGCCGGTAACAATATACATGCGCCGTTCCGAGTGGCATTACGATCTGTCGCACTTGTATTGTAGCTTCTGCAGCTTGAGAGTGATAATCTGTTTTAAAAAGCGCACACACGTAATAAGTTTTCTCAACACGGAACTTTTATTTCTAATCATTTCGAATCTTTATAAAAATGTTTCGCTAATATTTTACGCTCTACTTTTTTTCGGCCTTCTCTTTGATCTGGAAGGCTCGTAGAACTACGGGCGCCTTGAAGTCATGGTGGCAGTTGTTGTAGCCCATACCTGAAATAGAATGGTCGTAGGTAGTGACACGGCTATATTACTCACGTGGAAACCTATGGAATCCAGTCACAACGCTACTAAGCAACTCAATCCGAACTGCAGTACAACATACCTCATAACTACGGGTTACGTTGGTGTCTAAGCAATATTTGATCATTACCATAAGTTTGCAAGGGTTTTGGGCCCAGTAATTTTGTTAGCGTTGTTTACTTTACCTAAACAAATTAGCATACTATGCGCAAAGACTAAATAAGTAGCCTGATGTGTTATCTAAACTACATGAGATTGCAATTACAACTAACTTGGTTGCAGTTTTTCAGTTTTTTTCACGTTCAAAGTTAAAACTTTAAAACCAAATCTAACAAGTTTAAACGAAATGTACACAACAGTATAATTGTACGTTTAAGTGTAGGTTAATGTCCACTAAAAAGACGGCTATTTTTAAACAGTTCCCAATCACGTGACAATGCATGTGACAAGCCAACCATATATATGACGGCATTACTATAAAGGTTATTCGTATAAACTCACCAAAACCCGCTCCGGTGCCGAAGATCGCGGGCCACGCTCGACGTCTAAACAGAATAAAAGAAGCTACTGCACCCAGACCGAGGCCGGCGCCCATTTTGACAATGGTATCTGTAATGCAGCGATCCCATTTTTCCCCTATTGCGTCCTCTGATGCGACCATGTTGTATTCGGCTCGCGCTGAACGGTCTTAATTCTTAAATAAATAGAACGGCCAAATTATATTTTTATATATTTGTAAAGAACAAATGTCAAAAATTACGATATATATCTTCTCCTTTACGGCCTATATACCTTTTTCATATATATATTCAATAATGTTTTGAAATTAATTAGAAACTTAATGAATGCGAATAGTTTTGCACCATTTAATAAAAGCAATAATTGTCATTTATTTATGCAAATGCCGATCACGAATTATGCGGCTATTCAAATAATTACGTTCACGTAAATGAGTAAAACGACCGTTTTCATCATAACAGATTCACAGAACGTTTATTAGTTACTAGAATACATCAAAATTTAAACGAACGATCCCATAGACTATGACCATGCTCTATTAATGAGCAAAATCAAAAACGAATATTTGGCATAAATTCGTCACTAATGCTGGTGTTATGTAAGTACAACAGGAGGGATGCACATCGCATTAATTCTAAACTTAAAAAAACGTTGTCTCGAGGAGAGCCTTGCGTATTGAATTATTCAAGTATTATATCTCACTAATGAATGTCGAAAAACAGCTATCCAGCCAAGAAAACCATCCGAATATTCGATTAAAAATGGAATCAAGTAATTATTTTTTGATGATTTATGGACAAACTTATGGTTTCCCCATCAACTGTATGGCTCGTCATAAAGCACAACGTGCAGCGATGTCTAGAATCGAGGCCCTTCGCAGTCCTTGTTGTTTCACTCTGTTAAAAAAAACTCGAAATATTCATTCAGTCAATATAATTGGAACAAAACTGTATTCTGGGCAATTGTGCATTGAACTCTCTAATTGAATCAACACATTTATGCATTTAACATACGATGGGTAACGTTTTATCACCTGAATATGAGCAGATTTGTCTTTGGAACATTCTGCCACTACTCAAGTCACCATAGAAAGCCTGAATGCTGACGTCTTCGAAGAAAGCAATCTGATCTCGTTTAAACAACTTCGTGATGAGCCCACTATTTAGCTTTATTTTCTCCATATAGGTATTACCAATTCAAGTTGATGAGCAGAGTCTCAATACGGCACGATTTGCGCGAAAGAAGATAGTCGTTTCACACAATCTCTCCCAGATTTTTTATGCTGCAACTTAGAGAAGGGTCACCGGACGAAATCAACGGAACTGCTGATGTTCCATTCACAGAGCTCGGAAAAGCATGTTTACATTTTAAATACCAATGAAGCAATAATTATAATCGATTTTCCACAATAGGTGCATTTACCAATTTATGATGTGAAGCATTTTAATAAGCTATCTCATTCTAGCATACGCGTTACTTATACAAAGGGGAAGAAAAAAGGAAAAACTGCCCATGTTTAAATAAACTCGCCACAGTTCGCGGGATATTTTAAACAGTCGTAAATACAATAACAATGTTTGTGTGATAATGCAGTGATAGCGTGTAGTTGCATACTAAACGCAGTAATATAAAAGGCGTTTACATCTAAATTTTTTAGCGGCCGGCAATCTCGCTAAAAAATTCCAACACTTCACTGGATTTTATAGACGTAAATGTAATTTCGCAATCACTTATATAAGCTAATTATTTGTAACCGTTTAGTTTATTACTTTAACTGGCCAAAAGTTAAAAAAAATACAGGAGCTTAAAACGGTCCAAAAGTCTAAACTGAGGTGCAAAAAGACTTTTGGTTGGAACTTAACCGAATCGCCCAGTCGGCATTTGAGGTTCTCTGAATGAAATGACTGTTATCTTCTGCATAAAAAATTGATTCTGATTAACTTTCGAGTGTTTTTAGGTTAGCATAGAGATTTTTCTCGGATTTTACAAAAGTACATGAAAACTGCTAGTGTCATGGACTTTCGATTTCAGACGAAAATGGAAGTTTGTAATTTCAAGAAGAGGTACTTCCGTGTGAAATGCATGTCCGTTACGAGTAACAGCTCGCAACGATTTGAATGTTATACCTTATATATATGTATATATATATTAGTGACATTTTCCGGGGAAAAAGACTAATGCTAGAAATTGAACCCAATTTGTTCTGCCTTTATTTACCTTTATGCCTGTTTAACATATTATTTGCTCATCTAACCACTCTTCTTATCCGCAAGGTCAAGGCCCACGTAAATACAAATCTGACGAATACAATGGCTGCATTTACTAACAAGGAATATCATTTCGATATTCTCAACATGACTTTATGTCAATTTGACTGTGTCAATTTCATATTTTAAAAAAACCGAATCGTTTTCGGTTGGTGCAACACGCCATAGGCATAGGGCTGAACGTTCAACCAACGTTCTTTGTTATCTTAGTTAGCTATTTGTATGATTATACTGTTAATCATGACCGTCGCTATAGTATAAACGTCTTAAAATCTCAGTGCCGATACCGTTAATGAAGAGACCTTTTGGTTTTTGTTATTCTCGTGTCTGGACATAAGAAGTTACAATAGAATTATAAATGTGATATCGTTCATAATAACCTTTAATTTCACGAAGATAAAAATTATAAACAAAATTTTTTCTTGTGTAAGTTCAACCAATCAAAATTAACTTAATTGAAAATTTGATCTGTGAGTCAAGTTAGTACGAAGTCAATATATAGGATTAAAACATTATAAAAAAAATGCATTATATTGTTATTATAAATAAATACATAGTATCAGAACATTGTTTAAGAGTATATAACGTAAACAAAAATCAGAAACGTTTTGAACCAGTATACGAAAAATAAAGTATTTAAATATTGAGGCAGTTTATTGTGCTTCGTTTGTAAGTTCAGAGACGATGCTTAGTTTTACGAAGTGTATTCTTTAATTCACTTATTCTCGCATCTTTTGATGCAAATATCTGCTAACTAAAAATGTAAAGTTCATTTAATATATTCTCGATAAGAAATCGCCTAAAACATATTTGCTTTTTTTTTCTAAATTATTCGTCGACGGTGCCTTCTATCAACTTGTCTCTTTGCAGACCTTCAATATTAGCAATTTTTTCTCAAGGTCATCGAAGCATTGCCATCCCCAATGCCAACTGTTCCTTAAAGACAAATAGTATGAAGAATTTTATGACCGAAATGTCATGTTCGCCAACCAAGCGCAGCTCTAACTTAAATTATCACAGGCCTCATCCTTATTTGGTCAAACTGAGTCTCCCTAATGTAATATCTTGAGCTCTATTGCTTTACCACCGCCATCATGGCGGACAACCAACAAAATATTTGCTAGTGTAGCCTATTGAGGCGCGCGGACGAATGCATCACGGTGCCATTTTGATACTACTATTTTACTCATATCGTCTGCTAATGCGCGGCTTCCTCCACCATCTCCGCCGCCGCTCAGCAGCCACCTCTCATTCCTGTTTGCTTGATCACCGGTGTTTTGTTCCGGGTAGCCTATTACTTGCTATAGCTAAAGCACTGTGACACGGCGCTCGTGCTGCCACCGCCATAAGTAACGACCGTTTTGGCTTGCTGAACCGGCTGCTCTGTTGTCCTGTGGCACTTCGGGTACGGGCTGACAATTCTTAGTACGCTTACAGCGATAGCAGCCGCTTACATCGTCAACCAGTCGATTGGCAGGCTGGCTTAGGCCACCTCTGCTGCGTGTCTCGGCGAATAAGTGCGAGTGGCGACTTTCTGTCGCCTGGTAAACTGGTCGTTGACTGGGACTGTGTGCATTGTGTGTGGCTTGGGTTGTTACCAACGCCGGCTGCCGCAATTCCCCAGTGTCGCCGTGCTGGTGCAGCAGCTACGCAAGTGTTAAGAGGTCTCGAGTCCTCGTCCGTTCACCGCCATTCAATATTTTCTCGTTGATAAGTGCTGCTGCCATTATTGTTTCTGAGATTGGTGCTGCCACAGCCACTGAGCGAGGGTAAGCCAGGAGGACCCCTCTGCTTGTGCCGTTGTCTTAGCAACCTATATCCGCCTACTTGAAACTGCTACGCTCTTACGACTACAATTCGTCGCCAAGGGTTGGCAAGCACAAGTAACTGCTTCCTGTCAACGTAAACCTACCACACACTTACAGCCACCGGGTGTTGATAATTAACAATTGTTAAAGCCAACTGCGGACGGGCGCACTACTATACTAACTGGCTGTTTGCCTAATTGATACGTACTTCAGCAGTAACATGAACAGTCTGACGATTTTACTGTGCCGGAGCGGAAAAGAAATCAACATTATTAGCGTTGGTAATATTATGAAATTATAGGGACGAAAAGTCAATAAAAATTGTGACCCAAAAGGAAAATAAAAAAAATAAAAAGGAAGTGTAGATACGTTCAGCCATAATTAATCCCAGCAGCAACGACGACAACAGTTCGATGAAGCGATGCGCCATCCCTTATTGTGCTACATTTCGTATCTCCTTATTGACAATTATCTACAAAATAAATTCGTAAACGTGCTTCTTGTGTTAAGTGGTGATACTCATCAAAATTTTCATCATTAACTCAATTCGTGGTTTTTGTCGTTGTTAATATCGTTTCTCTGGCAACAGCGATAATATAGTAAAGATAAATAACGGGCAGCACCGAACTCACTAAGTTCAGCGTTCGTCGACTCTGAACTGTTTCGAAGCGGAAGAAGGTGAGAGAGCGATTTAAGTGCGTTTAACCTGTTGAAATCGCTGCTTTCACAAAAATCGCATAGAGGACAATAGTAACGAAAACAGCCAGAGACAAGTAGAACAAACATAAACTGCATTAAGGGCTGAAAACGGGAGAGTTACGGAACAGAACGTGTTGGACAGGTTTGATGGGAAAAAGTGCAAAGTGGAATTGCAGGAATTGAATTTCGAAATACGTATGTATTCCGCATCAATTATCCATCATTAGTATTCGTGGTTAGTGATAGTTGCGCAGGGACGTGCAAAGCGGAACGTTGTTCAGGCATTCTGTAACGTTAGTTAATAGGGTATACACTAGCTGATATAGGAGTAGATGACCGCAACGTCTCGTGATTCTGGCCACGTAGATCAACTGGAAAGAACCTGGTTCTCTGGCTGGTATGGATCTTGTGGTAGTAACATATTTGCCTAAGCTGTTGATCTTATTACTGTTGTGGCTGTTTTTCTTGGCGTCGTCTGTGTGTTATCTGCATGTACGTGCTTGTATTATACGAATCATTGAAATAAGGTTTCCCGCAAGGGCTTTACGGATAGGGAAGGGATACAGAAGAAGCCATAGAATAAACAACAATAACAACACTGATAATCAAACGATGGTTCTAATAAAAAGAAAACATTGGTAAAATCGTATTCTTTTTCGTTCGCTTACGAGTTAGTCAATTTACTCGATATAACATAGATAAACAGAACTAAGCTCTTGAATATCGCCTGCGTCGACTCTACGTGGACGAGGCGGCGACCTAAGATGAATTTCCTACAGTTCGTAATGTAGTTATTGTTATTCATTCTTATGTACAGTAGGTTTGGCTCTCACGTAAGTGAAACGGCTTCATTTTTTCTAATTGACTCGATGGTTCGGGTGATACTAATAGAATTGACGAAAATGCGAGTTTGATTTTTGGAAAGTGAAGTCACACCATGTCGAGGTCGAAGATGATTGATTTGACTAGTTGCTTTTTAATCATGTTTTGAATTGTATGAGGAAATTAGTGTCTCAACTTAAACACACTGAGCTATTTAGTACATTGTAATCACGTTGGGTTATCTGTTAATTTATGATGTCGTGAATTGCTATATATAAAAGCGTTTTTCTCTTTTTTGGTCATGTAACCGGTAATATAATCATATTTATTGCCTGTCGTGACCAATACTCATATATGCGCTTCTTAGTTCTAAAGGTTTTTCACTCGAATTGCACCTTTATGGTCCGGCTCGGCCGCAAAGATTCTCTAAAAGCTCATTCAGACCTTCTGTCATGACGCACTGCAAGAGATTATATGTAACCTTCAACGATGTACACTGCTTTATCTATATGCAAGAAGTCTACATAGAAGAGGAAGAAATATATCTGTCATATTTTACTTGACTCGGACACCATTGTTCATGGCTATTAGAAAGTGAAGTGGTGCCAATCAGAAGTGCGGAAGGCATTTAGCACTTGTTTGAATGTAAAAGTTGACTTCACTACATTTTATTAGTGCTTAATCGATCATCTAGTCTGAAGATAGCTCTGCAATGAACCCAGTCTACGAAATCTCTTATTTAGCGCTTCATTCAGAAACCATTTATAGCAGTGGGCATATGTTAACGGTTAGCTCTTTTTTGTACTTGCTCCACGGTGTTTGTTCCAAGCTGTAAACGAAGTTCAACAAAGCAAGTTCTTTGAATTCACTGAATTAGTTGACTCAATGGGCTGAACGATTGGAATTGGTTAAAACATGTGTTGAGACATAACGGTATCATGAAAAATAGTTCGCAATATAAAAAAAACATCTCAGAGTTATTTTTGATAGACCACCATAGACAAAATATTTTGATTGAACTATTTTTTGGGAGATGCTTGTTTGCTTGCCAATATTGGATTTATCCGTGATGGTATTTTATATAATATTTTATTTAGTAATAACCAAATTCAGATTGAAAGATGCAATGCAATAAAACCTACTATTGACACTTGTTGCAAATTATGCATGTAAATATATAGGGTGTTGCTTTTAAACTAGGGTAAACTTTGGCGGGCTGTATGTTATGACGGGCATGCGGCCATCAGCAACTCCTGATACTAGGCGAAAACCAGTTCTTTCTAGGACAAAATAACGAACTCATCAACTATGCGCTGTTGTCGGAGCAAATATCAGCAAAAATCTAGTTTTTTTCTTTCTCAATAAGCGAAACGCTATAATAACCAAACGCTTCTTTTTGTCCGAAACGGACATTATTGCCGGTTTTCATGCAGTTTCTGAAAAAAGTCCAAAAATATTTTCATGAGTAAAACCGGCAATTTTTAAAAAAGAAAAAGAAATTTTTAATGTATTTCAAGGGCTTAAAGAAGGCTAAAAATACCATTGATACACCTAGGTTTTTGATATGATAATAAAGGGTATGTCTTGACATATCAAAACCACACTAGGTTGTCCAGATAAGCTCCAACGGTCTTTTTTTTTAAAGACTTTACACCTTTTCGCACATTTCTGTACTTTTTGACCATTATAAGCCTCTGTATTTTTTGAATGCAGGACTTGCTATAATATCCAAACTTAATTCCGTTGAAATTTTTTGTACATAGCATATTTGATCGATACTTCGACGAGTTTATGCCTACTGTTATCGTTTAATGCCAGGTTACTATTGAAAAGTTATTTGTGAATGGAATAACAGCATATTATATATGACATCGACGATAACCAAATAATGGTTTAGGTTTCACATTGAAGCCGTAATCATCATGGCCGTTAGCACATGCAAAACATTTAAAACATCTGTTTTTGTTCACGTACAGTTTTACACTAATCATTAAATTCTCAATATATACATAACACCTTGTGTATTTGAGCATATTTTATAGGGGTACAGCTGAATAAATTGAGTTACTATTAAATGTGTGGGTGTGTACTGGCGCATATCAAATGTTCCTTTTCTACAATTAAGGGATGACAGTGTCACATAGATAAGCATACGAGTAAACAGTATCATGCGTAGCTTTTAATTACTATTGGGGTATAATACGGGAGAATTCCGTTTCTTTGTTGTCACTACTATATTATTAATGTTATCATTGGGCGGCAGTTGAGTATTTTGTTTGACACCCAAAATCATACTCTCCGATTTTTTCTACAGCTTGATTGGCTGTTTGTAGATCACCACTTGTAGGTGCTTTCATAATTTAGAACTAATATTTACTGCTTTAGCCGCTGCTTCTTTACATCCTTTTTGATATACTTTAGTTGAAGTTGTTGTTCGTAAATGTTATGTGAAATAAAATACAAAGCGTATTCACGCAGTTACATATAAAATTTAAAAAAATGCCACCAATATAAGGTGGCCTTATCGGCAGTTTCATCTGACGCAGGTGCTGTTTAAATTATGCTTAACCGCAATTGCAGAAAACAAATTGCTCTTACTTGAAATGATAAATAAGTTACGTTGAAGATAGCAACTTTACCTTAACTGGTTAACGACCTATTGTTTTTGCTAGAGAGAGAAAGATTCGTTACTGCTATTTGGCATACTGTCGCAACTAAGCCCGAACATATAAAATACACGTAGAAAGTTGCAGTGAATTAACCTCGGGTCAATTTTTTATAAGTAAGAAACGACTACCCTTTGAATTTATTGGTTGAAGTTCAATATTTGAAGGGTTTTCTGATTTAATCTGCAACTATGCCAAAATAGAATTAATCGCTTTCCACAATAGTCAGTCTGCTCTGTCCAACCATTCTTAACCATTAAATTCTCCTTCTCTTTTCTGCTTTCAGTGTTTTTGTGTGAAGCCTCCAGGTAGGACTGTTCATTGGTTAGGTGTTGGATCGACGTGGATTTTACAGTGGACGCCTGGATTCTTCATCACTGCCGGTGGGTGTGCGACGAGACGTCGAATCAGTCGGTGAGCAGGTGTTCATAGGCGTGTCCCGTGTACCGACGGCGCCGATCCATCACAGGCGAGCGCCATGTCGGTACACTACAAGTTCAAGTCGTCGAAAGAATTCGACACGGTAACGTTTGATGGACTTCATATCTCTATTGGAGAGCTGAAGAAAAATATCATTCAGCAAAAGAAGATTGGCAAGAACGCCGATTATGAGCTGCAGATTACCAACGCTCAAACGAAAGAAGTCTACGACAGTGATGACACCCTGGTTGCTAAAAACACCTCAGTGCTCGTCTCCCGCATACCCATCGTGGGCGCCAACAAAAAGAACTGGTGCGTACAATTGTTGCAATAGGGCAAAAGCACAAGCTGATTATGGTTACAAGTTAATGTGTTATTTCAGCGGTCTCACATATACTTAAGTCGAAGGTAAAAAATTTAAAAACAAGCGTACAACATTAAATACGTTCTGGAGGAACTGACAATTAATGCTTCATCAATTATTGTGTGGCTGTCACGAAGCTCTAATTGCACTCATCTATTGTTCACGCTGCATCTACAACGATGTGGATGTCGATAATTTTGTATAAATCGTACAGCTCTGTTACATTACTGTACGCTGAAGATGCCAAACATTGCATAATTACCACCCTTCGCGGCAGATTTTTAATGTGTCTTCCATTCTTGTTATCAGGCGCCGCGAGACGTCGGACACGGATGCGCTTCTGGAAGCTGAGGTGGCCGCTAGCAGCGTATGTATTGCGAACGAGGAAGGGGACCTTCTAGGAGACAACGGCTGGGGCTCAAAGAGGGGCCCCACAATGACAGGATGACTATGATGACGCCAACGCTGTCAGGATGCACGATGCACCTGACAACCAACTGGCACACGAACTTTGTGGCAACGAACCTTCTCTTAACACTCCTCTGTCGCTCGGCAAAAGCACTTGCAACCTCTAAACCGTTGCGATCGGTGCTCGAGTTCAGTTGATTGATTCATCCATTGACTCATTGAGAAAACAATAATTGCAATAATAGCATTTACAAAACGTATCATTGCGAGATATATTTTTGTATGTCGTTTATTACTTTCACTGGGTTGGCTATTGTGTTTGGATGGGTGAAAGAACACAAGCATACAGGCGACATAATACGATTAAAAAAGTAATGTTGATATAGCCACATTGACCTAGTAGAACACAATTTTTGACGAGTAGTAGAGGTCATAGCACATGCGCGGAGTTGATATTGTTTTTAAAAAAAGGGGGTGACTATATCATAAACTATAACTAATGTTAGGCCAAAATATGACTACAGCTTTCAGGGGCACACCTTTGAACTAGTTCTGGTTGAAGTCACAGAAATGAATACAGATGCATAAGGTGGCCCAGGGAGAGTTCACATTACTGGCGAACGTACCTTAAGAAGTGCTTTCGGGATTGCAGTGCCAGAAGTAATAATGTTTAATAGTTTTTAGGCCAGAAAGCAACTATGCCATTACCTTGACTTCTGTCGGTAGTAATAGTAACAATATTACGGGTGTATTTTTTTCAGTATTTCAATCTGCGTTTTAGTAATTTCAGACATTGAAAATGCACTGCGTCTGAACTGTTATAGAATTTCACGTATCGAATTTGTGCACGTTGCTGCCAAGCTACTATTAGTATGAGCAAGTATCATAGAATATGAGCTCTCTGGCAGGCTATCTATAACTTAATGGAAATTTAACAGCGTTGGAGTCACTACCCTTTTGTGTATTTATCGTTGTGACGTCAACTCTAAAACTGAGATGAACAGATGCATAAGGTAAAATCATTTGAAGTAACAAGATCCCGGTAGAAACATGACATGACTTTAGTCGATATGACATATGATATATAAATACATAGATATATATTATATATACATATATATATTACAATGAAATACATAATATAGAATGACTAAATACACTAGTAATAATTATAGAGAGAACGGCACTACCATCATATATACATATATAAGCGCAGTTGTGGCCCTGTACACCAGAATATAATGTATACAGATATTTAAGTTATAATAACGTGAAGTTACTCTTTCATTTCATCTGCTATATCTTCGCACTGTCGCTCTTTTTTTTACTATTTTTTTACATTGTAAATTAGAACAAAAAACATGTAGAAAAACTGTTTTGACCATGACAGTTTTTTCAGCCGTTGTTGAATACAGTCTAGCTAGCAAACTATCTAAAGAAATAACTGTAACCTGTTGATTAATTTATGTATACAAAGGACTAGAATGGGCTGTTTACTTTGTTGTCAAGGAGGCAAGATTAACATATCGTATGAGATTCGGTATATCAAGAAATTGAATCGCAACGAAGGTCATCTCTATAAATAACGCATTGCAATTGCCTCATTCCTGACGTTTGTGAACGTCTATATAGATGTTAAACGTTATCAAGCCGAATTTAAATATCTAAATTATCAGCCTGATTTAATTCCTGGCCGATACAAATAGTATGAGGCTGATCTGAATTTGCTTGATATATTTCACCGGTCAGAATTAGTGGGATGCTCATTGTTCTACATATTAAAGTGAGTAAGGGTGACTTAACTTAGAGTTCAGTTGTTCAAGGTGTCAATGAGACACAAAATGAGGTGAATAGATTCAAGAGAAAAAAACACTTGAAAGACTTCGTCAGAGCAAGCAGATGGGTGAAATGGGAATTCACAAGTTGTAGAGTGGACCCCCGACGTCCCTGGTCATCATCAGACCAGAGCGGGCAGTTTGCGCGCAAAATAATAGTGAATGCGCAGAAGCCAGACAACAAAAGTGGTACCGTTGACTGAACGGAGACTGTCAACACATCATATACCTTAATGAGATCTTGAATTTTGGAAAAATAAACACTTTCACTGATCGATTTAAAAATTCTAAAAACCTGAGTTTTGTGTATGTCCTCGCCGCAGTATCACAAACGAAGAAAAAATCTTACTTAATTATTGTCGCTCAAGTCAACCAGCAGCAGAAGCAAACAGTAGCAAAACCGTCAGATGTTGGTTGTTTATCGCTACTTTTACGTTTCATTGGAAACAGAAAATAGAATAGGGATCGCCTAGGATAGGCGTCCTGGTATTTGTATTGCGCAAAATTGAATGGATGGAGATTTCGACACGTACAAGTAGAATAATGCTATAGCCGATACAGCTTATCTAACATGCCGATGGTTGATTTCAGCGAAAACACTCTGTGAGGATTGATGCATTATTATTAATTTCGACAAATGTATCAGTTTTTTATGTTACATTTAATCCTAGACGATTTTTTGTCTGCGTAAATAGCCTGCTGGTCTGCTTATTAAAAATCTGATCAAAACAGACGGCACTGTTAGTTTTTGCGCGTAGTCAGTTGTTTTTGATGAATCTTCCACTGTGTGATGAGAATTTTTTTCATAGATTATCATTCTCAGAGTGACTTTAGCTGTGGTCGTCTTTACTGTTTGATTCGTTTTCGTGCTCTAATTACTGTGTCGCAATACTGCCGGCGGTGTGCTTGTGTGGATGCGTATATGAAACTAAAAGCGTGTGTGCTCTCTTGAAAAAAAATTGAAACATTGCGGAGAAGGGAAGGGGTACAGTGGACGTATAATAAGCTCAATTTTTCTCTAATTTTTATCGGGGATCCGGGCCGACTAAGTATGATTTTTTTCTCGTTCGTTGTTTATAGGCTGATTCACGCGGCGGCGCCGCCGATAATTACAAGGTTTGTTCCGTTCGATTTTTCAGTGATTAATTCTTGGTTAATTGGCTAGCTTCTCGTTCTATCCCATTTTTTGTGTGATGTGTTTGAGTTTGTCCAAATGCCGGTTTTAGCGATCCTTGTTAGTTTGTTGATTTCAACTTTTTCTTTTCTTGTAACTTTATAGATCTGTTTATATTATATTTATTTTTACTCCCAGGATGGCGCTTCCTTTCACAATTAACTTATTACCACTCAAGCTATTTGTGTCACCTGTGAGTTTATTTATCGAGGTTTTACGATAATTATCTAATCGTTCTCGTAAGTCCACTGCCTTTTCTATGCGTTACCATGAGATTTATCCTTGAGAAACTGCTGAAGTCGTCATCATTTGGAACGATTTGAGCTTCATTAGAGGAATAAACTACTTTTAATAGATATGTTATTTCCAGTTGTTTAGGCCTCAAATTAAGTGTTGCTTTTACAGTAAGTGAGATGTACTGTGTATTTTATTGTGTATTTCGAAGAGGAGCAAATGATAAAAGAATCGTTGTTCCCAGCCGAGCAGTAATTGTATGGACCGTCGACAGTAATGTTAGATAATATATTCAGAACTTTGATTTCCCATTGATGTTGGGTGATCAAAAACAACTGCTTTTTTGTTATTTTTGATCGCCTATAATAAAATAGGTTGTTAAGTTAATTAATTATGCGTCCAGTTGTTTAAATACTTGAGTACTTTAGTCAGTCATAAATATACTAACATGTTCCGACTAACAACGTTTCATCAACACAGCAACCACTAGGAACTAAATAATGTGTTCGTAATGTGTGCCTGTATTTTTTTGGCTACGACCATGTATTGATGCTATAGGTTATCGATCTCGCCGCGTCGTCAACTTCCGAAGAAGACAAAATTAAGGCGGTTATATCACAGTCTTCAAGTGAATACGACTCATCACGTTTTGTGAAACGACCATACTTCGGACTACCGCCAGCTACTTACGTATGTCAAAAGTGTCAAAAACCAGGACATTGGATACAGAAGTGCCCCAATGCGGTTAGTATTGGTTAGATAAATCTGTAAATTTTCTTACAAGAGTCTGACTGTGAATGGATCTGTATACACCCTCATAAGTAGATAGCTTTCCAACATTTAAGTTAGTGGAGGCGATCCTAAACCTATCGATTTCATTTACTATCGGGAACTTCTAACATACAAGCGATCTGTGTATACGATGTCAAAGAGCTAAAAGTTCTATATGAACTGCATCCCTACCCACTGCTTCGTTAATATTTCTTAAGCAGGGTATGAAATCAAACATCAAGGTCGAATTAGTTTTTCTAATCCAAAATAATTAAATGCTTATTTCAGCCGGTTGACAAAGGCAACCCTCGCGTGGAAGTAAAACGAAGTACGGGCATTCCCCGAAGTTTCATGGTCACCGTTGACGATCCTACACATAAAGGCGTCATGTTGTCTAGCAATGGAGAACTTGTCATACCACTCTTGGATGCGTAAGTTCGCCTAGTGTTAGATATCAGCAATTTTCTTCAGGCCCTTGGGTTAAGTCTACTCCTCTTTAATTATTTTTTATATGTGTATTTCAGTCAAGCATACCAGGAACGAAAGATAGAGAAGCCACCGTTTGTTCCTGATCTTGAAGACAAGCCATCAGGTATCGAGGACAAACCAGCTATCCCTGAGGAACTGCAGTGTTCGATATGCCAGGACTTGCTCTGCGACGCGGTGCTTATTCCGTGCTGCGGCAGTTGTTTCTGCGATGAGTGTGTTCGCCAAGCGCTTCTCGATTCCGACCATCACGAATGTCCCGTCTGTCACGAGTTAGATCAGACGCCCGATAAGCTTATACCCAACCGGTTTTTGCGTAACAAGGTTCGACCATATTTAGTATTCGATACAGTTGATCCATATCTCCCTTTATACTAAATACTGTCGTTTGTAAGGTTAACTTTATATTTGCAGCTATTGTGTAGGATTCTTGGTACTGAGAGCTTATTAGTAAAACTCGTTGCTTGAATCAGAAAATATTATCTGCACTATACTGCATATACTGCGTTATATTGTCATATAAATAGGTGGCGCGACTCAAAGGTGACGTCCAGAAGCGTAAGGATCCCCAGATAAGTCTACCAGGGGCTAGCACTAGCAGCAGCAGCGGCAACAACAATAGTACGGGACAGCCAATAAGCAAGATGAATGAGCAAGCGGAAGAGGCTCAATCTGTTGTGAAGCAGCCTCTCCTACCGCATCCGGATTTGAAAGAAGAAACAAGTCGCCCGGAGCCTCGACATGATCGACGAGGAGATGAAAATCTCTCTGGACGAGGGTCGGTCTCTACAGAGATTAGAAGACCTCCACTTTTGAGTACCCCTGGGTAGGTGATAATATATATATCCCGGATATATATTATCTACTAAATATATATATAAATACTGGATCTTCAAATGACACCCCTTGTACTTCACACCTTATTTTGGCCTAATTTTTTCCCAATTTCTTGAAGTACCAATTCATTGTACTTGAGCCTGGCTCACAACGCCACTTGCTTTACTAGATATTCGAAATTATATAAAAATCTCTATATAGAGACAAATTTCCGCATTAGAAAAAGTTAGGCCTAATGTATCAAGCATCAATAAAAATGCTAACTTTTTAATGTAAATCTGCTTAAACAATTTTTGTGAAGCAATAGGCTAAGTAGGACAGATTGACCATTTTCAGGGGACTGCGGCGTGATGGTCCAGGCGACGGATCCGAAAATAAAGAAAACGGTCCAGGCGATGATAGAGACATTCGAGATCGTGAATATCGGGAGTCCCGTGAAAGGGATCGAGCAGGCGAGTTTCGCGACAGGGATAAAATAATGGGAGTACCTTCCGTTGATGGTCGTGGAGACGGTGCAAGTGTAGCCGGAAGTGGATACCGTGAAAGGGATGACCGATGGCAGCAAGCCCGCTGGCAGAGATCAGGATCCCGAGAACCGCCAAGAGAGTATGATAATCGAATGTATGATAATCGGGATAACGCACGCCGACGCTTCGTAAGTATTATGACGGCGTCGTAAATTATCAGCGCTTTAGACTTCTTCTTATGGGCGTATTTTTCAAAAAAAAACAGACGTCTCGTTTTGCTTACATTTTTTGGTTTTGCCTGGCAAATAGAGAAAACCGTAGATTGAATGTGTTTAGTTGAACCGAGTATCCTGCTTTAGAGATTGGCAATGTTTTTGTTGATTGGTAAACATTTTTTTTAGTGTAAGTGTAGGACACAATCACAGGTGAAGAGGATGATGGAAAATATTAATGTGAGTTGGCTAGCACTACTTTGTGTTTTTTTTGATTACCGGAGTAGTCATATTCTTAATTATTTTAAGATATCACAGGTTCATGCGATGTCTCTAGAATTAACAAAATAGCTTTGAATGCTTTCAAGTGATCTAAATATTATTATAATAGTGCTCACAATTTCTATGATTTTTGAAGAGTAAACTGGATGAAACAGATAAGAGAATGGGGAAAAAATAATGCAGATAAACTGATCGACAATGTGGCTATAGAGTTTGTTTTGTGTCCGGACGTTGCATCAATTTGGCCATTGCAAAAGGCATTTTTAGAAGTCTCCTGCTTTCGTTCTCACTGGGATGTAGCCTCGTCAGATTGTGAATTTTTCTGCGTCAGTTCCTATTTTAACGAAGGAAAGCATTCGCTATACTTTGTCTTGTTTTCCCAGCGGCTTCGGCGCCGGCCCACAGCTCCGTTTATCAATCACTATAACTGGAATACGTGTATCGTACTGAACCAGGAGATTAATTTTTTGCTCATTTACTTCGAAAGAACTTCGTAAAAAAGTTTGGTTTGTCGATTTAAAAATGCTGTATTGATGTATCTGTCGACAATATAGCAAAGGTATAATTATCTGTACAATTATCAGCGAATTCGTATGTAATCATTGCCGGCTGTGTCAGTACTATTGCTGGTATCGCATGCTCTCGAGTAGGAATGTGAGGACATTGCTTACTGTCTTAGGAGTAATAGCTATTGCACATAAGATACCTGTAAATGTGTGAGGAACAGTTTGTCTTGCGCAAAGGAGTAATAGGACGATTCCTCGGCAGGATTGGTCGCCTCCTAGATTTCGAGGAGGACGTGGATATCGAGACTTCTCGCCCCGGAGAGGCGCACCCCCTCGACACGCTGAGCAAGGGCCGCCCGATCATGCAGGCGACCAACAGGTCCCGCCAGCCCCGGGCACCGGGGGTTCTTCCGGCGCCGATGGATCAAACGGCGGTGGAGGTGGCGGCGGTGGAGCCGGAGCTTCTTTTCATCCACTCAACCCCCCACCGATGCCCTTTCCCCCGCCCGGATTTAGTCTTCCTCCGCCAGGATTCCCTCCTGGACCTCCACCACCTCCCGGACCACCGCCGCCTCCAGGAACTTCTTCCGCTTCAGCCAATAATCAACCACCCCCGCCAGGTATGTGCGATCAGATTTATCTGCTCGCTGGTGTTAATCATAAATAGGCTTTGGAATTTGACATAAGATTAATTTAGTTCAAATGATTTATTTTGGAAATAGTTTATGGTTGTTTGGTTTGTTTAATCAAAGAGTCATGGTTAACCATTTGCTTGCTGCGCATTATAGGTTTGGGACCACCCCCTCTAATGCCACCTGGTCTGCTCCCGCCTTTCCCACCGCTGGGCATGCTGCCTATTCCTGGAGCGCCCTTGGCCGCCATGGGAGTCCCAGCTAATCAACCGGAACGTGAAGCTCTTGAAGAATTTGAACGTAAGCTAAGCGAGATGCGTAGCGGGCGCAGACGGCGGTCCCCTTCTCCCCTTGGCGCCAGAGACCATCCGGGTCATCCAGGACATCATCTCCATCGACGGCGAAGGTACCAAGCTATTCCGTATACTGAGACAGTTACGCATTGATCAATCTTCGTAATGAGTTGGCGCTTGAGTGATATGCCGTCTGTAAAAATAGAATTATTTGTTAGCGAGTAGATTTCCTCGTTATTATTAGTTGTGGTACCATTAAAATTTCATTTTACATGCAGGATTCAACATTCCTTAAAAGCAATGATTTTGTGTACTATAAAACAAATAACAACAAAAGTTAAGCATACCGCGGTCTTGTGGTGACCTTTTGTCTGGTGCAATATAGGATGAATAATTCACGTTCGATGTTTAAATTATGATTAGGTTTTCTCGTAGCCGTAGTCGATCGTTTTCACCTAGAGGCGGATCACTGCGAGGCCGACGTAGTCGTTCGACTTCACGCGGCAGACTACGTTCACCTATACGGTCGCCACTTAGAGGTCGACGATCTGCGAGTCGCTCGCCTCCATACGGTGTCGGAGGGCGCTACCGATCAGGGTCGAGGGAGCGCTACTCAAGACCGCTGTCCCGCTCTCCTGAGTATCATACGCATCCGCTCCAACTCGGCTCCAGAAGGTATGCGGCTCTATAGATACGTTTAAATCTATAGGTAGAGAACAGAAAAACGCGGGCTGCCGTAAAACATTTGCTTCTAATTTTTCCATGTAACTTAATTCTTTTATAAAACGTACTGATTGAAGATTGCCAATGGTTTAACGTGCAAACTAACTGTTGTTCTTTCAAGCCAATTATTAGACATGATCAGTATAGATCCCACGATAAATGAAATTCTATTTGTTGAAACTCTAATTTTTGTTCCAAGAGTGAACTGAATGGGTGTACAATGGTTGCGTGTTCGTTCATTGTTTAGCATGCTACGGGGGCGCAACGTATCGATTTTCGAGCATTCCACTGCTTAATGGTGGTGGTGGTGATTAGGCCATCTGCGGACGCTACAATGCTGCTAAGCTTTTATGTTGCTCATTACCGTTGTTATTAGGAAAAAAATATCGAAGCTGCTGACGCCAGTGGCAAACATAACAAAAAGCTACAGCCTGCGCGGAATCATGCAAAAGTCCATGACTCCCGAACCGCACATATTCGGAAGTTATCTCAGGTTGTAAGTTCTCAATTTGAAAAACAACGAGTTCCAGAGTTCTTCCCCAGCGTGTGTATGTGTGGGACACAGAGCCACATTAATGGCTGATGCACCAGTGTTGCTGCTTTTTGTTAATCACCAGTGGTGCAGACACTTCTTTGTGTCAGTGAGTGACTGAGTGACAATAAACATGCGTGAGCGATTGTGCTGAAGTAGTATTTACGAGGTGTTTAATGCTTCACAGGTTCACGCCCGCGCGGTCGCCAAGGCGGAGGTCTCCCCTCGATAGGGAGTTCGACTCGCCTGCCTCGTTGAGGTTAGCTAAATGCACGCTTCTTGCTTTTTGCTTGATGCACGGAGAACGCTTTTGCATGCAAAGAGTTAATGAAAGCTCGCATTATGCGGGTTGTATAATTTTGACATCTACGTAGCCCTGTAAGCCTGAACGATTGTGCTTGTGAGTGGACGTATTTGTCCGTAGAAACGAAAGAGACTCCAATATCTGTTAACAAAAAAGTGCTTTTCTTCAATTACGACGCATAATTGCGGTTTACCTCGAGTGTGCATGTGGAAAAAGTAAGTTTTGGATAGATATAAGTATGCTAGTTTCATATCAGTAAGTATCTAATGCTATGCATCTCTGTGGGCATGGGAAATGAGCAGATACCGCGATCGGTCCTTAGAGAGATCCGTAAGTCCTCGCGGAGGAGGCAGAAGACGATCGCGAACCCCACGTTCGCCCCTCGAGAGGGAAAGAAACGATCGGCCAGTAGATAGAAATGATCGAGACGCTGGTAGAGGCCCTCGACCGAGACTACAGCCGCAGCAGCCCCCGAGGTCAAGATCGCCTTTATCTCCACCACGTCTTGATGATAAAAAGTCATCCAAAGGTACAAGTTGTGTTTGATTCATACGATTGATCACATATTTAGTCGAAAAATGTGATATGCCCTTCTTTTTATAGGATAAGATCTAGTGATGCTGTATGCTGAAGATTAGGATAACTACAGGCGAATCTCTAAAGATCGACCTGTAGCTAAATTAAGTTGTTCTCCTTTACCCTGTTGTTCTCTAGGCAAATCTTCCCCAACGGAAGCGGTCATTGAAAAGAAAAAGAAGAAGAAGAAGAAGCTTGACGATGATGAACGAAGTGATAGAAGTCATGGAAATAAAGAGTCGTCTAGCCGGGCCGACAAGACTGACCGAAGCAGTAGCAGTAGCAGTAGCAAGAAAAAGAAAAAGAAGCGAAAGAATAGCAAGGACGTTCAAGAGGCGGACACGACTCAACCTGAAAAGGACGAGGACCGCGATGATGACAGGGAGAGAGAGGATCGACATCGTGAAGACCGTGAGGGGAGCGTGCCGGTCGTGGCGAAGATCGAGGATGTAATCATTGAGGAAACTGGTGGGCGACCTGGGGAAGGAAATGAGCACGATGACGGCCCGTCATCACAGGTAAGAATCACATCTGTGAACCGATCACAGATGAAAATGAATAACTTGACAGGTGTAACGGAATTATGAAAGCTTTCTGTATCCCATAAATGCACTGCATAAGATTTTTTGAAGCTTGATTGGTATTTGAATTATTTAGATTCCTTCATGAGAATTTGGTTGTTGCGCTGAACAGCTTTTTGCTAGTGCAAATGATTGAATAACAAGATTACGTTAAGTGGCGATCTATTAACGTTTTTTTTGTATCCACTTTATTTTTATTGTCTTAGGCTGGTGACCTGCGTCCGAGTAGAAGTCCTGATGGTGAATCGCGTAGTACAAGTCAGACTAAAGAAAAATCCCCTCATGGGCGTACTCCCCGAAGTATTCGTAGCATACGAAGTGGTCGTAGCGGTCGAAGCCGAAGTCCTGCGCCAGAGCATGACCAAGATACCCGGATGTCAGCCTTCTCTCCAGTTCGAGGCAAGTCACCTGAACAGCCGGTTGTGGCCAAGTCCAAGTGGGAACGGTCGAGTTCCAGCGAACGTGAGGCCAGTCCTGTGGCGGCGACTTATTCCAAAGCGGAATCGATCAAGCCGAAAATTACCTCGGAAGTTATCCACAAAGCGGAGGTGGCTCTTATTTCAAAGCCGCCGCGCATCCAGCCGCCACCCAGCACTACTCAACTCTCAAGCAAGGTTATTTCACTCAAATCGATTAAAAGTCGCCTCGGTGAGCAGCTTAAGGACCCGAAAGATGCCATTCAGCGTGGCGCTGATGGTCGTGGTCACAGCCACGGCCACGGTAAAGACGATCGCAAGGAGCCCGCTAGCGAGATCCAAATTACGATCCAGAACGACAAACCGAAACGAAAGCCAATTCTTGCACCGTCTCCATCGCCTGTACGAGAGACTCTTAAGTCTGAACGGGTTGTGAAGAAGAAAGGCGCAGCAGACAAGGAAGACACGGGACCTGCGGAAGCGGTCGGTGGCAGGAGGCAAGACACCGGGGAAACCAAAACAAGCGCCTCTGCAGGCGCAGCTGGCCGGCGTGAGAGGGACGACCGAAGACGCGACGACCGCAAACGACGAAGTCCTGAGAATCGAAACCGGCGAAGTCGGTCGCGCGAAAGGGAACTCACTCGCGTCGAACGCGAGCGCGTCGACAGGGAGCGCGAACTGCAAAGGGAACGCGAACGCGAACGAGAGATTCAACGGGAACGTGAGTTAATGCGCGAACGTGATCGTGAATTCCAACGGGAAAGGGAACGTGAAAGAGAACGCGAAAGGCGCGAGCGAAGCAGGTCGAGGGAGCGACGCGAGCGTGAGAGAGCCCGACTTCGCGAACGAGAGGAACAGCTTCGTGAAGAACGCAGAAAAAGAGAGGAACTCGAGCGCGAACTTGAGCGGCAAAGGAGGTGAGTCAGGAGTGAGGTACGCAGGAATGAGAAGGAGAAGGAGGAAAACGAAAGGCAAGAAGAACAAGGAATGGAAGGATTATAAACCTCCTAGAGTAAATATACCGAAGTACGTAATAGTTAAAATAGATGAAGGTGGTGCGGTTAATGTGGAACTGCGTATTATAAACTGTTGCTTTCGACTTCTGGATCTCATTAAAAAGCGAGCAAGTTTTGTTTATGATTAACAGTGCCACTAACAGAAAACTGGTTTTATTGACTGTGGTAGACTTGACGCCGAAATTGAACGTGAACGTCGTAAACGTGAACAAATAGAGCGTGAGCTTCGTAGACGAAAGGAGGAGACCCGTGGGCCGAAAGAAAGTAGAAAAGACGATCGCGACAGCAAGAATCGCAAACGAGGCCGAAGTGAATCGGAGGATGAGGAAAGGTCGAAGGATACCGACAAGAAAAAGGCTCGCACACCTTCCCAAGCCTCGGACGCAGAGTCTGACAAAAAGCAGGGGCAAGGGTCCAGGACAGACCGTAGGCGAGAGCCGACCCCTCCTGGTAGGTGTGCGCGCTTACTCGTATAAACTTTATTTCTGTAAAGTGACTCTGTGCAGGCCGCGAACCACTATTCAACTGTCGCTATATTAATCTAAGCGTGCATTGGTGTATCACTGCAAACATCAAACGTCCTGTTCTAACAAAAATGGTTGACTCAGCGACCTTTTAATGAACCCAATCCAACAATTATTAAAGTACATTTAAAATAATTGAGCTGAACTGTTTGATACAGGAACCACAGCTGAAGATAACGCATCATCTTCGGCTAAAGTAGACGAGACTCAGTCCCGATTTGCTGCAGGAGGCGATCTTGATCTGGCGTTCGAGCCCGACTATGATCTGGAGTTGGAACCAACGACCGGTGATCGTAAATCGCCTGACAGGACTAAGTCCCGTGAGAGTAAGGACGAGAAGAAAGAGCCTTTATCCTCTGCCAGTTCGAAAAAGAGAGATTCGGATAGGGATCGAGAAGACAGAGAAAGTTCACAGTCGAGTTCGAGTTCATCGGAAGAAGATTCCGAAGAGGAAGAGCGCCGTCGACGGAAGCATCGCAAGCATAAGAAACACAAGCACAAGAAAGCTAAGAAGAGTAAAAAGCCGAAATAATTATCTTTACCGTATACTTTATGTATGATTGCATTTATGCGTGTCTGTGTGTTGACTTGATTCATCAGGCGGTCGGGTCAGGTCAGGTAAGCTTGAAAAAAGAAAAACATCAGACGGAACGTGGCTGCGACAAGAGGCAACCTACACTAAAATAATAATAATAGTAATAATAATATTAATAATAATAATAATAATAATACATCTCCGTATGTTTATAGCGCGAAGAATTCGCTTGGCGCGCTGTCCGCTCTTGCTCACAAGTCCGAGCTCTTAAATTTTGGCACGGCACGTCGAAGAATCCCGGCGTAGCGAGTGACTGGGGTGAAAGGAAAGAAGAACATGTGAGGACGTAAAGTGAAGCAAACGCACCAGTAATTGTGCATTTGAGTCACATATAGAAGGTCAACGAATGAAGATAATGCAGGCGAACTCCAAGCGAGCTAGAATTGCTGTCGGAAGCTTATAATAATGCACAATTATAAAAGAGAACTCACAGCAACTCTATACCAGAAGATATCGATGTAGCAACAGCAGCAGCCGAAAGAACGGAAACGATATTGTACATATAAATATAATGTGGATTGTTTTTTTATATAGTGATCAAGTTCACATTCATAGATGTCTTGATTGAATATCAAATACTGAAATAAGAATGGTTATTATTTGCGTAGTACTGCAAAACATCTTTGGGTCTTGTATGAACCATAAAACTTATTTCGCGTTTACTTGGTAATATGGATGGGTGACCGAACTAAAGTGTTTAATTAAAATAAAAAATACAATAGAAGTTATAAATACAATAACTAATGCTGCAAGTTAATAAAGAGGAAGATGATCATTATTAAATTCGAAAAATAAATACCTGAAATGTCCAAAAGGCTGTATTTTCATTAATAATGATTGCAGATAGTAACAATGATTTGGTTTTTATCTATTACAAAACGTACAGAATTACACGAGACTAGAAGCATGAATATTAAAACTCCTGTCGTCTTTACGATCCGTACATTTATCGAATGTTTATATGAAAGTAGTGCTTTTAGTTTATCCATATTTAGAAAAATGTTAGTGCTTACCCGTGCATGTTTTCTGTTGTGCGTGCTCCAACCGTGAGTAGAAAGCAACAAGCAATAACAATAGTCAATGAAAAAGTCGGCTTATCACGCGCAAATTTTTTCTACTGTAACCATAATTTCTCGATTCATTATTCGTGTCCGTGAACCATGTTCGCATATTTGAACTACGCTGGTCTATCGTTGGGATGCCTCAGATGTCATATCCTTGTTTGTTTACTGATCAGTATCTTCATCTGGCATGTGGGATACTGAAGTTTGATCCCTTTTTATTCACAGGGAAAAAGAAATCATGATTATGAATATTTGGCTTTCGGATCTCTAAAGTAGCCTCCCGTAATCAACGCAAAGGACCTACCATCCACTATAGAGTAAATTAAAGGTCAATATCTACAGGTAACAAAAGCATTCGTAATTTGATCGATCAACCTGACCGATAGACGCCAGTTATAAGGGCAGGTTAGCAATGCCATTATGATCAGTTTATTCTCTCTTTAGAGTGGATAGCGGAATTGTCAAATGAAAGAATTTTTCATCACCAATTTAATGAGAATCTTAAACAGCTGGTATGATTTCATGTGGCTTTTGTCCTTAGATCATCCCGAAACTCAAAAATGCGTTTCGGCTGCCGAAAAAAATTCTGTTTGCACTTATTTCAAATTGCTAGTTGTTCTTGAGTTTAATGAATGCTAAGACTAATAATGAAAATGCAATAAAGACTTATTAGTTGCAGAAAAGCAGTGCACGCGGGTTAAGCTGAACAAAAAATAGTATGCAAAGAAGTAAAGTAACTAGAGCGGAAGTTTTAGTGCCAATTTCTTCGGCAGCTCCGCGGCGATAGCATTTGGCACAGAAACTTGACAGTATCCCCCCTTTCTTAGAAAGGCTGGGGGATATTGTAATTTTTCATGTTATCCATTGGGCGAAAAATGGCTTGAAAATAGCCTCTTGATGACCTGCTCTACCATTATTTCTTGCAGCAACGTTGGCCGAGTCTTACTGATCTTACCCATGACGATTTTTTACGGTCTCTTCTACGTAGCCCTCTTCGTTTTCGCGTGATTCTCTCCATTTTCTTCCAAGTTCTCTAAGTACTAAGTACTGAGTTTTTCCTTCTGCCTGAAGTGGTACTTATGATTATGGGAACCATCTTTTTATTCGCTTTTTATATTTCGCTTTTGCGTTATTCCAGGTATTTTTCCGAGCCACGGTGTTTGCCGCTCATCACTGCTTCGCAGGTCGCCAGCTGCATTCCAGTTGGACCTTAATCAGTTGTGTCACCAAACCTTTGGTTGAACCTGGTTTCCTATGCAGAAGCCTTACAGTCTCCAGAAATTGCTCTTGTCCTGAGGGCATCTGCATTGATTCCATCGGAGTGCAGCTGGTATCTGTGCTCCTATTGCATGTGACCTTCCTCTATACCCCACGATTATATGTTTTGTTTACTGTGTCGTCGCCCTCGAATGTAAGCTCCACAGCGCGGCCTGACCAAATAACAGTGCCTTAAGTGATATCGGCAAGTGTGCGGACTCGACGCAGACAAACATTCAGTAGAATTAAATGTATGACTGATAGTAGACCAAAAAAGCAAAAAATAAGGATCCGAAACGGCTAAAAAATTAAAAAGTGCGAACAAATGGTTTTTTTTTTCTCCAAGACAGCCGCTAATTTCTGTATCAAAAAATAAAATTTATTGGAAGTGGCATAAAATTCAGAGCTTAAGAAATCTAATCCTTACTGAAGATCTTCAGGCTTCCATTATAGAAATCTTAATTGGATCCTAAGTTTTCTGTAAGTTTGTGCAACTCCTACTACAGACTGGAATAGCTGCTCTTTACCTATATTACAAAACGGATGCACCGTTTTTCGCTACGGTAAGCTTGTACCTTTGTTGCAGAAGAGACACCAAGAATAGCAGATCAACGGATACCCACTGTGACAAGTAAACCGACAAAGTTGTTTGGGTCTTAAACGACCCATAAGTAGAGAACCAGCCCATTTGTCGCGTACGTAGGAGGAACTGCCGCTGGAAAAGTCATGGCCCACTCGCCTAGCTACCTTTCATCTCTTGACGCCTCAAGGTCGTCCCAACGTTTTCCCGTTTTGTCACAGTCGAGTTGAGATCTTTGGCCGCCAGTATTTTCGCATGCCGATCTTCGCATGGTCTTTCTCTGGATCTTAAAAGGAACGTTCACATCCATATTCGGTAGGATGTGACAGTCAAACTAGGTCTAGTGCAATTCTGGAGAACTACATGGCCTTTTTCATCACTCAAACAGTTTTGACCTTGCTTGCGAATCTGCCAGTTCTTGTGCGGCGTTCAGTTTGACCCTAGCTCTTGTATTTATAAACTGGCTTTATCTCGGACATGTCTTTTAATAAGTTGATTAACCTGTACTACCCTAAATTTTATGAGCCTATGAGTCCGTTCGGTATGTTCGTAAAGTAATAATCATAACGTGCAAACCGACAACCGCTGACTAAACCGACTACTTCATGTTGACAGCAACTCTAATTAACCCGAGGCCTGCTTCTGGTATGACCAAATATAGAAAAACAGATGCTCACATTTCTGAGAAACACTGCTAAAGGCACCGTCAACCGAATCAGAACAATTTATTTAAGTTCCCACGTTAATCATCTTAAAGCCGGCGCAACCTAAACGAGGTAAGATAATCTGTATGAACAGTCGATTAGTTGATGCAAATCGCGGAAAATACGTCTGAAAAAAGCTTCATTGTTGTCATCGCAAACGAGCTAACAATTCTCTCAGTCTGCCTTTCTCCCGTGTTCTTACTAAAATTTGAAAAATGCTGATGGTCCACTTGCGGCTCCAGACGTCCCAAAACGCCATTTCTGTGTCCGCCGTCTGCCTTGCGTTTCTTGTTTGACATACTGTCGACCACCAGAGCTTTCTAACGACTCGACTAAGAAGTCCCAAAGAAAGTCTAAGCGGGCAAACATCTGTGGCTGCCCCTTAGCAGGGCACATTGGATGCGGAACATCCTCTTTCAAATGTGAATATGAAACGAGACCAATCTGAAGCCGAAAAAATGAAACATTTGGTTGTGACAAAGCAGTACGATACTATGAATCATTTGTTTTGACAAGATTTTATTTATTCTCAATACACACAATGGCGTGTAGTTCTAGGATTGTCTACCAGTCTATAGTCAAATGTAGCGGTCGCAGCGCTTGAATCGTACTACGGATATCCTTTCATTTTCGAATTATACTCAAGCTAAGTTTCTCTCAACGTATCGCACGTGCAAATTGTTAGCAAATAAGATCCTATTCGCGTAAAATATTCACAAAATAGCAAACAATAGCTTTAAACTGTGAACGAAGTTCTTACGACAAAAGGCACCGTTGTTGCACGCTTTAGTCTCGAATTGCATCTTTTTATATCACTCAATTGGTGCCAAAATACATTTAGAAACAGCTACGTGAGAATGTCGTCTATGCCTGTTTACACGTATACATTAAATAACCAATCACGATTACTGATTAAATTATCGGCTATTCTTCTGTATACCTGTATTCTTTCATACCTGATAATGAATACCATCTTCCTCGACCATTAACGGTCCGCCCGAGTCTCCCTATCGATTTGACAAGGCACGATATACAAGAGGAACATACGTATATTAGAATGGAAACTTTTGCCAAGTGTTTTTTGACAGTCAGCGCTATCTTTAGTTAACGTTAGGTGCGAAGTGAAAATAACCAATTCATAAAAAGGCCTGGCATTTTCAGCCTCGTTGTAGAATGACGAAACTGACAAGATTGACTAATATATAAATTTCTTCAATTTTCGCTGCAAAAGACGCGTCATTTAGATGTAAAGCTAAGGGTCTAGTCTATTGCATTATTTGTTCAATGAAGGGATGCTCAATTTTAGTCAGCATCTGCATGAAGAAGAGCCATCGAGGCACTGCAAGCTTACACCTAAGCGTAGGCATACTTTGACTCAGCGGAAAAGATACTTTGACTCAGCGGAAAAGGCGATGAGTAAAATCATCTTTTTTTTCAATTCAGTGCCCTCATATCGCTTGTACTGAGCCTCCTATCTCTACAGGTCTTTAAAGTAATGCTAAAATAGCGGTACCAAAACCTCTCCTGTCAGAAACTATTGAACTTCGAAACTTGCCTGGATCGTACATCACATATTTTTCAGAAGTGAGGTTCCGCCTGTCTAATGCAATCACAGAACTAATTTCTTGATTTAACGTCGTTCTGTTAAGTATCAGACAGTGTTCACTATTTATTTTCGGTTTCTACAGTGAATTTTTTGAACAAATTCCCAGTTTATTACGGTACTAGATTCGCATGTTGCGTACGTGTGTTATACCTAAGACGATGACCAATTTCGCACTATTTAGACATGCAAAGCATAGGTAAAATTGCCACCTACTTTGCAGACGGCTTTGTCGTCGTTAAAAACACAGTACTCATATTTGGTTCCGAAATAGGAGGAGCCTTTACAAGCATCCGATGTGCTAGATTGAATTATTTCGCCCGTGGCGCGAAGTATCCTGGGTTTAGTTGGAGAATCATCTGAAAACAAACAAATACAGATCAATCAGATGACCAAAAGCAAGGCTACGATTTGGGTCTCCTGACCCGAAGTTTCGTTCTCACTTTGTTACCTTCCAGACACCGCAGTTTTTGTTCTCTTCCATATTTGTTACTCCTAATACTAAGATTGGGTTCCAGCTGTTCCAGCTGATTTTTTGACCGTTTTTTTTTCTTTCAATCAGCGTTATTTCATACTGCAACTTTGTTACCTATTTTTACTCACCAATAGCACCCCATCCGGCCACTTGAACCTGTTTTCCCTCGACTGAGTCTTGTAATCCAGCAGCTAGACAAATAGGAGTCGCTTGAGAACTAAACCGGATAGCGCAGGCGAGCAGTAGGATGAGTATGTCGTAAAACGGGGCGCCTTCAGGTTCACGGACATATTGTGTTGGCCTACGAAAAAGTGAGAGTGTTTCAAATGGGTAGAATGTTCCTTGTTAGAGATCAAATTTATTTAATATACGGGTCTTAGGAACTGCATTATTAACGGCAAACGAAGGTGTATGTTCTTATATTTAAAGAGCAACTTCCTCTATTTACACTGTTCGTGGTAAACGGTTGTTTGTAAACTACTTTTTCTGAACTCTCTCAGCTTCTAAATCATCGTGAAAAACCTATCATCAGCAAGGCGGCTAAACAATTTAAGTACATAGGTCGATTATATCGTACCATCTTTAACTGAATCGATCAAAAGGTTATTCAAGTGAGCGAAAAGTTTCCATCGAGCTTCTAAATAAGTAGCCTATTTCACTATTACTAGTTTTCTAATAATTGAGCTAATCATATGACTCGTTAACCGAAAACCAACTGCATAACTTCGGGTATTACATAGAATGCCCATAAATGATGTTAGCGCTCACCAGACTTAAGTTCTTAACGAGTGTCAACATTATTAAACTTCAATAAAATTTATTTATTGTATTTAATACGCACCTGAAGTGTTTAGCAACGGTGGCAAGCTTTGACTTATCAAGATCTACGCTGCCGTAACGTATCTGATACGAGTTGACGCTGGAAGTTGTTAGCAGTTTGTAACACACCGAAACCTCTAAAGCAAGATGTGCTATAGTGTACTCAAGTTAGTTGTTGTCGTTACAGGCGACCTCGAGACTACGTTTGTGTCTCACATATGTATTTTACGTATCGACAATGATTTCTATTTAAATAGCATTTATCCATTCACGAACGTGTATCCGCGCAGCGGTACGATTCATTGTGTTTTTGGAACAGCTGCGTGCTAGCACTGATCTGGCAAGGCAGTCAGCTAAGATTTGTTAAGTTTGCTAGCAGAGCTCCGTATTTATGTTAAGAAGGTGTAATTAATTCTACATTATATGACAGTACCTATAATAGAAAAGCGCATCCATAGCTGAATAATAATAGGTAGGATATTTACTTTGACAAATAGCAATGGCCGGCTGTTAAGACGTGAATTGGCGTTATGATGGTACCCGTACAGTAATGAGTACCTTGATGCTGTACTGAAACCAGCCATGGTAGCTCACCCTCACGAACTTCGTTACCTCCTCGTATGCGTTTTTGAATACCTGTTTGTCCACAACCTGAAAATGCCAAAATAAGTGCAGGGGTTCTGTATGTTAACTCCCAGCAGAGTCTATTGTAAACATAATAAACAGTTTTACAATAAAAAAGATAAAAAGCAAACCGAAAACAAGCTGAATAAGATAAAATTTCTATTGACCAATTAGAGCAGTGGATCATTCAATGAAACAAATTTTCACTTAGTTCGGCCTGATGGACCAATATGTTAATGTGAAGTCTAGTTGAATTTTTATCTTGTTTAAGTTTCTTATCGCGATGTACGCTTACGACGCTTTCGGATGGAGTAAGCATAACAAAGATAACAAGATAAGAACTTGTATATAGGATTTAGTAATCAAAAGAGAAACCGATATCATTGATTTCCCTTGGAAGTCACAAATATATATCGGTCAAAATTTTACTAGTGGATAGTTTTATTTAATATGACTGTCCCTTAGGTCGATAGTCCCTTTAAATCCGAATACAATGGAGTGTAGCTAAATAACAGCACATTGTTTCTAATTTGTATTTCGAGACTTCACGGTCATTAAAACGAAACTTCCAATCGTTCAGTGTAACATTTGAAGTACTGAGCCATTTCCGATTTCGAATCTTTTGAACAAATTTGCCAAATTCTTTGGCCTTCTTAAAGCCACCATAGCGACGGGCAGTACAGAAACAGTCATCTTTAGAAAAAGGGTATTTGAAAATCTACAGATTCCAGTGCCTCACCCCTGCATCCCAGTTGTTGTAATAGTGATCTACGTTGTTACTTTCTGCCGTGGGAAAAGGTGGTCATGGGACACATATTACTCTTTATATAGGAAAAGGCGTAAAAGTAGACTGACGGTAGACTCCTAGGAGATGGTGTAGCCTGAACGACTATCACGCATCGTTCTGAGGATAACCATTGGACGCAAGCATGTCAGCCACTGATAGTTTACATTGTGGAGTTGGCAGACGACAAAGGGCTATATATTTCCGTATCTAAGATGCTAAACCCTTTGTTTCAATGCGATAGGAAGCACAGCTACCTACGCAGGAAAAATGACCTACAATTTGATATATATAAGTAGGATAGGCTAGTGTGGCACTGGTCCATTCACAACTTCAATATTTGTCAATGAAAAATTAGCGTGCAACTGAATTCGCTCGCGAGCAACAACAAACAAAAGACGTTTTTGGTGGTAAATTTACCTGTCGTACGACCTAAAATTGTAAGTTAAAACAATGTTATTCTTACTTGATTATCAAAAATTAGAGGGAAGGATTTGATTCCCAAGCTACGAATTTCTACCGAACGATTCTCCCGTTGATATATTTAATGCGCAACCTAGCTGAATAAGATGAAAAATAGCAAAATATGTTACGGTAGAAGCTACGGCGAGATCGATTACGATGTGGCAGTGCTTAACGTCAATAGTACACCAAGTACAACATCGGCATACGGGGCAAATCGTCACAAAAACTCCAGTCTTAGCTTGAAAAAGTACAAGGTTATTTGGTACGAAACGTAACGAATATTATTTTCATATTTTAAGATAACGGTATCTTATAATGGTGATCCATTACGTGACACTTTTTTGTATTCGCATTACGCTTGTACTCCTTGTAGTTAGAGGCCGTTGGCTCGCAACCTGGGCTTTTAGCAGGCATGAAAAATTAGAGTTGTTTACGAACATGAGTTGCATTTAGGCACAACAGCGGTGGAGGCAGCTTGCCACATAAACCTTGAATACTGAATAGGTTTAGAGACACCGTGAGCCATTTATTTCAAAAAATCCGCTAGGGGAACTCTAAGTTTGAAGATTAGTGAAATTACTGCAAAGATAAACAGCCAAAAGTCGAAACCTGTAGTAGAAGTTGACCACACTGTAGTAGAAGTGCACAAGTGTTAGCACTTACTTGTTTGTATTCAAATGTCAAACCTCGGCCAAATTCAAGGTAAAAATGTTAGACAAATGTGTGCTCGCTCAAGGGCTGTGCAAGGATCAAAAAGCGTAGATGTAGAGATGCTTGGTTCCCTTCACCCAGGTTACAACTGTGACCCGTTCTTGCAGTACTGTTTTGTGATGGAAGTTTGATTGTCTGCAATAATCGCAGGCAGTAACATTAGTGGGTGGGTAACCAACGGGACGTCATTTTGAAGCAATTACAATACAGCTGCAAAAGCTTACGGTGTCTATGTGATTGTCTAATGCAGATGTGATCCAGTAGAGCTTTATGAGTCCTCGTTCGTCGATCACGCTTGAAGTATGCTGTCAACAATTCGAGTAAATGACAAAAAAATCAGCACTAAGCTGCCAAAATGACGGAGCCCATATAGGTCACTCTCCTATTGCACGATAACCACTGCAAAAATCACGGTGGCAACAATGCAAGAGTTACTGTGTGAGCCTTTCCGTCACCAATTATACTCGCGCCCACAGACGATATTTTTTTTGAATTTTCAACAACTTCTAAATAAACAAAATTATTCAGATCTAGGGTGTTTCATAGATTCTTGTAACCCAGACTTTAAGCGCAGCATGCTAAATTACCATGTAAATGGTAAAAAGTCATAGAAATAAATAAGAGTTGAAGACTGCGAGAAGATGTTCCGGGTTCACTATGTCACGTTGCATGCTGGACGACCTAATAATTAATTAAACTGTTCTACCTATGCAGCCCCTCGTTGTTGTGCCTCGTCATTAGGAATAATCGAAGCAATCCGACCACAATAAGTTTTTACACTAAATCCTACAATAATTTTTGTTACGCCCAGTGTCGTGCCAGTTGTTTGATAGTACCTGGTACGTCGAGCATTGGTCCCACTGCTTGAACGAGCTGAGTTGAGAAGCCGGCACAGATACCTAAAACGATAGTACTACCTGCATATATCATGTTTTAAAATATCAAACGTCTTGTTATGTCTGCCAGAGACGTACGTTGACATTGATTGTGAGCTGAAGCAGCAATGGCAGTATATCGAATTGTATTATGGAGAAAGGTAGCCCTGTAGCGTCTGCTTTGAAACTAGTGGCGACGTGTTTCGGAATCATAATATTATCAGACAAAAAAACGTCTCTGTGATAGCTTAGCGGGTAGCGTATATGCCTGCGAATCTTAAAGTGACAGACTAGGTTCGAGCCAATAGACACACACACATCATCCCCGTAAAAGAAGTCGGAACTGGCGATACCGGAACGAAAATTCGGCACATTGAGGATAGGAAACTATAAACAAAAAACTGAATTCTGTTTGCACGGCGGCCACATCCTTGAATTTCGTTTTTTGCCTCTTAGTTCACTATGTTGCTGCATTTTGATGCCATCTGCAGCAACGTTTTGGCTGGGCTAACTGAAGTTTTTTTATCTAATACCGTATGCAAGTTCTTGAATGCTAAGAACGAACTCTGATATTCTGAGGGATAATGGACAGGGCAACAGCGAATCATCTTATTGTACTCATTCGTAAGCCTACGTTTTTAACTGCTGCAGACCAGCTAGAAGGTTCGTGTGTGTTGACGCACAGAATCTCCTAGAAGCTCTCGATATAATTCCTTTTGATACTCATGCCAACAACTGCAGTCATGGCATGAGAAGAGTCCGTTAGCTGATCGATCACTTTCAATAGAGAAGACATGAAGGTATTGCTACATTCATATAGGGTTGCAAATCATATATTTGGCAGGTACTTTTAGTCGGCTCAAGACACACGTATATTGACGTCAAACTGATGACTGTGCTACCTCAGGTTGAGTTTCTGACGCATTTCTGTCGCCAGACCCAGAGTAGCTAGCCGTAATTGCCTATACGCTGGGCTATATATATA